GCAGGGCTGGGGTTGCTGAGGCCAGTGTGTGCGTTTTCTGGTCAAGGAGGCCGGACAACATTGTGTCCTGGGCTGCAGTGGGCTCCTGTGACGTCTGGGGCTGTGTTGCCCAGTTCCACCTCTGAGAAGCGTCTGTAAAAGCAAGTACTGTTTTCTCTCTTTTCCGGTCCCAGGCCCTTTCCCTACCTCCTGCTGAGGGTCACTTTCTGTTCCGACTGTCTTCGCTGACGTGGAGTTTCTGAGAACCAAACACCCAGGCCCTAGAGGAGGCTCAGGCAGGCCGGGGTCAAGTCCTGGGGCCATTTTATGGTTCTTGGAGGGTGGCTGGAACAAGGTGGATGGAGGGTCCCCCCGAGGAGGGGTGAGCAGCTCTGTCGGTCGCCCTAAAGACCCTCAGGAAGTCACCTGTGACTTGCCCAGAGAGGATCCCCAGCCTGGTGCCGGTGAAGAAGAGCGTGACCAGAGTCCTTGCCCTGCCAGCCTTCCGAGGAGTTTTGAGTGCTCAGTGACAGGAGCCATGGGCACCCTGCTTGAGGAAAGTTAATCTGGCAGCTGGGACAAGCAGCAGGAAGGCAGACTGGTCAGCTGTGATTTCAAGGCATGAGATTCATGTATTTGTTCCTTCAGTGCTCATTAAACACTACTGTGTGTCAGGCAGAGCCGTGGGCACGGGGGACCCAGTGGTGAGGACCGAGAAAGTCCCTGGGCGTTTATGAACAAGAAGGGAGACAGAAAATAAACAGAAACACGTCAGCTCATGAGTTCTGGGAATGGCAGGATAGCTCGTATAAAAGGGGCCACCTCCTAAACCTGACAAGCTCAAGGGAGGTGGAAAATAACCACATGGGGAGGTCCAGACATAAAAATTTTTAACCTAGAGCTGGTCTTGGCAGGCAGTCCGGTCCAGGTCTGGACAGGGCCAGTCTTACCGTTAAGCATTGTCTTTTTACATACCTTTGAAATGTCAGGTAATCTCCTTCTCTAGACCCCTCAGGCCACAGCTGCCCTGGGAGACCACCGGTATTTTTTATCTTGTTGGCCACCTCTCTGCTGTGAACGTTCATGGTTGCCTACCCTGCACCCTCCGATGTAAAGAAAGTGTGCGTCTCGGTTTCACCCTTTCCCGGGTTCCAGAGATTGTCCCCTCTTCTGCTTTCTCCCGCCTCCTTAATCTACCACCAGTGAATTTCATGAAACCCTCCTTACAGCTTGTCCTTTGATTCTGATGTGTAAAATGAGCTGCAGAACGTCCATTCTCTGCAGCTTTTTCTCAGTCCATTGAGATGTTGCTTCCCGGCAATTGTTGTCAGTTTGGATCAAATACACTCATAAAAATTCTCTGCAGTTTTGGAGTTTCATATGTTGACATAGTCTGACTCTCTGGCCAAGAGTGCGTGGTAGACTAAGGACAACAGAAGAAACGCAGTGGTTAGGGAGCAATCAAAACCAGATGGATGCTGGGGAGGAAACAACCTTTGAGGGAAAAGAAGCAGATGAGGGGAATGACCCCTCGGAGCCGATTTTCCCCCTGGGAGTACTGCCCCCTAGGAGGTGATGGTGTAAGAATGTCCAGACCCATAAAGAATTTTTATAAAAACTTATTGGAGAAAATACAGACAACCGTAATTGAACAACAATAAAATAATTTAAAAGAAAATAAAATCTCAAAAAAACCCACCCCCAACTTATTTGATCTAAACAGGATATACCTGGAAGCAAGCTCTCAAGACTGAGAAAAATACTTCCAAGAAATGACAGTTTGCTGCTCCTTCTCTGCCTTTGGAATTAGGGAGGGGCTGTGAGGAAGATTCCAGGAAGGTGGGAGAAGGCAGGCGGGGATTGGACTGTGGGGTAGTTAACAAGATGCTGTGCTCTCCGAGGGAGGCCCGAGGTGTGTTAACCTGCAGGTACAGGGGCCTCGGACAGGCTCTGCTTAAGGCAAAGACAGGCCTTCTTCCAAAGCAGTTATTTGCCTGGGGTGTGACCACCCACCACACCGTGACCTGCCCAATTAGGAATTTGTGATCAGATCAGCCTGTGAAATTATTTTCCCTAGAAGCCCTTTTTTGTCCACAGAGGAGCTCAGACAGAAAGGTGCAGTTTTACTGGTCAGAGTTGGAGGCTGCCAGACAAACTAAAAATCGAGAGGGAAAACTCTGGAGAGGAAGGAGCCATAGAGACGTTCCCTGCAAATTCTCCTCGAGGTCTTGGTGACTGCTCACCTGGGCATGGGCAGTCTAAACTGGGAGGCTCTGGGGAACCCAGGAGGAAGCGGCAGCTGGGAGGCAGAGGTTTTTGTTGCTACATGGTGTTGAGGAAGCAGTTTGGAGTTCAAGTTCCACCGAGTTAGAGGCGCTTAGTAATTGCCTAAGGTTTTCCTTTTTTATTTTTTTTTTTAGTTTTGTTTTGTTTTTAGATTTTCCTTTGAGCCTTGGCTGGTGTGGCTCACCGGATTGAGTGCTGACCTGAAAACCAAAAGGTCACTGGTTCGATTCCCAGTCAGGGCACATGCCTGGGTTGCGGGCCAGGTCCCCAGTTGGGGGCGTGTGAGAGGCAACTGATGTTTCTCTCCTTCTCTTTGTCCCTCCCTTCCCCTCTCTCTATAAATAAATAAATAAAATCTTTAAAAAATATATTTCCTTTGAAACTCTAGAAGGGCCTCACCTTATGATTAAACCCAAGGCTAAGGGACACACCCTAAAACTAAAGGCAAAACAGCCCCACCCTCGCAAAGCCCAAAACCAAGCCCCTGCAGGATCGAGGTGGTGCACCAGTGATCTAACTGCCTGCCAGAACAAAGCCCAGCATTCTTCGTAGGAAGATGAACCCAGACTCCCTGACGCACGCCCTCCACAAGGCCCCACAGAGAAGAAAAGAATCCAGACTCCTTACAACATTATTTACAATGTCCAGTTTATGATCAAAATTACTAGACATGCAGGTAGGGGGAGAAAATGACCCATAATCAAGAGAAATAGTAGACGCAGATGCTGAACAAAATATCAGGTAAATGTCAAGAGAATTACAATCAAGGGATTGGATCACCCTGTGAAGTTCCTTTTGGTGTGATTTTTTTACAGCACCCCTTTTTGGTCCACGAAATTCATCATTGTTTTCTTTATGACTTTCAACACTCGAATGTCATTTTTAAAAGAACTTTAGAACTTACTTACATCCTTGAAAGGTCATTCTGGCTGGCTGTGGAGAATGGACTGGAGAGGGGTGACAGGGCCAGCGTGGGGGAACAGGAGGCTGGGACCGAATTTCAGCTCCATCTCTGACCAGCCTGGGACTTTGGTCACATATTCTTGCCACCCTTTAGGCAGGCTCTTTACCTCTAACGTGAACTAGTAACAGACGGTAACAGTCGTCCTAGTGATAAACACTGCGGCTGAGCATAGTCGGTGCGGACGGGGCAGGTGGTGGTCTGGTGTGCGTCAGTCATCCCGGGCGGCTTTATGATTGAAAGCCCGCACATCTCCCAGAGCTGGGATGCCCAGAGGCTGTATCTTTTGAAATTAGTTCCTAGGGTCTTAACAAACGTGATATTCATCTACAAGCTACATGTGAGTCAGAGTCAGCACTTACAACGTCAAGAATGGTGGGGGGACAGTTACAATTTTCCGCCGCTGCAGTGGTGCCCTTCCTGTGTGCTGGGCCCTTGTCCAAACACTTCACACGTGCAGTATTACCTCACTTAGCCTTTACAACAGTCTTGTGTTTAATTTTGTAAACTGATTTTTAGAGAGAGGGGAAGGGAGGGAGAGAGACAGGGAAACATCGATGCGAGAGAGAAACAGTGATCGGTTGCCTCTTGTTCGCACCCCGACCTGGGACCAAACCCGCAACTCAGGCGTGTGCCCTGACCAGGAATCGAACCTATGGCCTTTCAGTTGATGGGATGACACTCCAACCGAGCCACACGGGCAGGGCCCTTTACAACAGTCTTATGATGAAGAAGCTTGAGTCAGAGAGCAATTAAGCGACTTGTCCAAGTGACACAGTAAGAGGCAGAGCTGAGATTTGAACCCTAGCAGTTAGATTCATGCTTTCAAGGCATGAAAATTATCGTTTCATACTAAGTCGGGGAACAAGAGGAAGGTGGTGAACCATGGATGTCAGAGACACTGGACTTGCTTCCTGGCTGTAAGATATGGTCACTTCCTGTCTCTAAACTGTTCTCATGTTTTTCCCCACTCCCTTTCCCTTTAAAATATAATAACTTAAAGATACAACAGCTTTGAGGTATAACTCACATGCTATAGAACCCACCCATTTAAAACGTGCAGTTAATGGGGTTTCAGTATATTCAGAGCTGTGCGACTATCACAACACTGTAGTTTGAGAACCCCCCCCAAAGAAACCCGTGCCTTTCAGCCGCCCCTCCCCACCCCATCTCTGCAGCCCAGCCCCAGGCAACCACTAGCCTGCTGTCTAATCACTGAAGTCTTGGCTTCTTCATCTGTAACGTGGGTGCGCTGGGGGCCTCTTAGATTTCACTGTCTCCCACACAGTGCCTCTGCAGTGAGGTGATTGGTGAGAGGACGCAGGATGGGGGATCCAGAGAGCCACATGCTGTCTGGAAAATGGGAGTGAGATGGCTATGGGGCACAAGTGGTTGGGTGTGAGGGGTGGTGAGCGGTCTGGGGAGACTCTAGATGGGAGGAGAGGATGGCGCCAACAACGCCGAGGGGCGAGGGGGAGGAGCGAGGCAAAACGACGCAGGCCGGAGCGCTATGGCAGAAAGCCCTGCTCTGCGACAGCAGCGGGGACAAAGGTTGCAGTGTGTGTGATGGGAATGCCTCCGCCCTCCTAAGACCTTCAGAAAAGGGTGTGGGACCCACTTGCCATGTGGAGTGGGGTTTGCTTTGGGGGGTGGGACGGAGGGCTGCGACCCAGCACCAGACTCATGGTCAGTGCCTGTCTCTAGGTGGCGCTGGCCATCGAGGGCTCGCCAGGAGAGCCCAGGTGACGGCTTCATGTCCCGCCTTCCTTTCCAGAGCCCAACGTCTTCCTCATCTTCAGCTATGGACTGGAGGGCTGCCTGGAGGCCCAGGGTGGGCAAGTCAGGGTCTCACCACACTGCAGTAACAGCCTTCCTGCCCAGCACTGGAAGTGGGTCTCCCGGAACCGGCTCTTCAACCTGGGTGCCATGCAGTGCCTAGGCACAGGCTGGCCGGGCACCAACACCACAGCCTCCCTGGGCATGTACGAATGTGACCGGGAGGCAATGAACCTTCGCTGGCACTGTCATACACTGGGTGACCAGCTGAACCTGCTCCTGGCCGGCCGAGCCGGCAACTCCTCGAAGGCCGGCACCCCTGAGCGCGGCGACCAGACCCGCAGTGGCCCGTGGCGCATCTATGGCAGCGAAGAGGACCTCTGTGCTCGGCCCTACTACGGTGAGAGGCTGCTTGCAGGGGAGAGTGTCCAGGGCACTGCAGCCACAGAGGGATGGCTCCGGGGACACGGCCTTTGGCAGTCACAGGCCCAGTGACAGGCAGACCCTGACAGTCACATCTTTGATTGTGACGGGAAGCATTTTGAATAAGAAAATTAACTTCAAAGCGTTTCATTTACTTTTTAAAAACTTACAAAATTAAAAGTTGAGGTTTTTACTTGTAAAGACCTCAAACAGTATAAAAGTGTCTGCTGTAAAATTTCCTTCCCCAGGCCTACTCTCCAGGGAGACCCCCGGGTGACCCCCAGGGGCAGCTCCGTCCTGGGGTGCTTTTCCTGGAAGCCACCCTGACTTCCAAGATGGAACCTGGGGAGGAGGGGTGCACAGTGGAGCCCCCAGGCTGGGGAGCTGCATAGGGATTCCTTCAGGGTCAGGCCTCTGGGGGTGACTTGGAGGCCCCCTCTCCCAGCTGGAGTTTGGACAGCCGTCCGGGGCATTGGATCCTGTGGGGTGAGCAGCAGGACCTCTCTCAGGCTCCTGGGATGATCTGATGGCAGAAGGAGCCTTAAGGCCACTCTCCAGTGCCACTGCCCCTCCCCCTCCGCTGACCCCTGCCCAGCCCGGCTCCCTGTGTTATAGGGGGCGGGAACCTCAAGGATCCCGATGCCAAAGCCTGGATCCCTTCCTTGCAGAGGTCTACACCATCCAGGGGAACTCCCACGGGAAGCCCTGCACCATCCCCTTCAAGTACGACAACCAGTGGTTCCACAGCTGTACCAGCACGGGCCGCGAGGACGGCCACCTGTGGTGCGCCACCACCCAGGACTACGGCAAGGACGAGCGCTGGGGCTTCTGCCCCATCAAGAGTGAGAGCGGGGTGGCTCCTGGCGGGAGGCTGGCCACGAGCGTGTGGTGGGTGGCAGAACTTGCGGGGCTGGGGTGAGAGGTGGCCCCTCCTCACCATTTGTGTGGGGCCTCCGCACTCTGTGAGGGACCCCTGTGGCGAACCCTGAAGCAGAGGACTGGGGAGGGACCTATGCCTGGCTCTCCTGGTGGCAGGTAATGACTGTGAGACCTTCTGGGACAAGGACCAGCTGACCGACAGCTGCTACCAGTTTAACTTCCAGTCCACACTGTCGTGGAGGGAGGCCTGGGCCAGCTGTGAGCAGCAAGGGGCAGATCTGCTGAGCATCACCGAGATCCACGAGCAGACCTACATCAATGGTGAGGCGGTGGGCAGCCCCCGGCTGGGCTGGCTGACCGGGGTCTGACCCACCTGAGGACAGGGTGGGGTGCCAGGACCCTGAGACCTGCTCCTACCTTTGGAGGACGCTGATCCCTTTCTGCTTGTGGGAGTAAGGATGGCGTTGGTGGGGGCAAAGTAGGAGGGCTGCGGATGGGCAGCCAGCTTCTCACTGTCACCATCTTGCTGTCAGGGCTCCTCACTGGCTATAGTTCCACACTGTGGATTGGCCTTAATGACCTGGACACCAGTGGAGGCTGGCAGTGGTCGGACAACTCGCCTCTCAAGTACCTCAACTGGGAGAGTGGTGAGGCGCAGGGTTTGGGGTGCAGGGTGGCCTGGGGACCCTACAGGCACCATCTCATCAAATTGGAGGTGGGAGGGGGCAGATTCCCCACCTCCTGGAGTGGCCCCCCTGGCCCACGCAGTGCACTGGTGTGACTTAGAACCTAATGCTCAGGGCACAGGACTGGGTTTCAGGCCCGTGTACCCAGCCCACCAGTAGCCTGGCCAGGGAAGCTGGGTGGGGCTGGTACCAGTCGCTGAGCAGAGCCCAGGACACGTGGGCCCACAGCTGAGAAAGCAGTGAGGCCCTGCGTGCCCAAGGAGGGAGGGCTGAGTGGGGACCTGGGCCTCTCCAGCTGGCTCAGGCTTCCGAGGAAGCAGGAGGTTCAGAGAGGGCTCCAGGGGCCGGGGTGTGAGTCTCTCTCCTGGGGTGCTGGCGCCCTGCCCTCCCCACAGATCAGCCTGACAACCCAAGTGAGGAGAACTGCGGAGTGATCCGCACGGAGTCCTCCGGTGGCTGGCAGAACCGCGACTGCAGCATGGCGCTGCCCTATGTGTGCAAGAAGAAGCTCAACGCCCCAGCTGAGCCAGAGCTTCCCAGTGAGCCTCGGTCTGCCCAAGTCGGGGTGGGGCGGGTGGGGGTGGGGTTCCTCACAGCACAGCCACAGCCTCGCAGCACAGGTGACTCTGGTCTGCCCTGTTCATAGTTAACGGTTCGGTTGAAGTCTGAACTCACTGGGAAGTGCCATTAATTCATTTGGGGATTTGTTGAGAACTTTGTTAAATGCTGGTATTACCTTGTCCTTGTGGAAGTCACAGTCTGCGGAAGGTGGTAGACATCTCAACGCACAATTGGAATATCCTGAGTTATGTGCTGTTATAAAGACATGTGCAATAATGTCAGTGCAATAGATGCCTAGAGAAGGGATTGATTAAGCTTTTGAGAGTGAAGGAGAGTTTCAAGGAAGTAACGTTTGATTTGCGCCTTTCCAGTTGAGTGTAAGTTTAACAAGGCGAGTAGAGGTGGGAGGGAGGGCCCCTTGGCAGAGGGAACTGCGCACTCAGAGGTGTGGTGGTGCGGAAGCACACAACAGTTGCAAGGTTGGTGAGAGGTCTGGCTGGAGTACAGACTTGTGACTACTTAACCTATGATCCCGAGACCAGCAGCACAGCGTCACCTGGGAGCTTTTATAAATGCAGAATCTCAGGCCCTGCCCGAGATTAATTGAGTTAGGACCTGAACTTCACAGGACCCTGTATCTGTGATTCCTGTGCACATGCCTACCGTGTGACAAGCCCTGGCTGAGAGCATGGCGAAGAGAACGATTTGGAAAGGCAGGCTGTAGCCAGCCCGCCGGGGGTCTTGGCTGTTGGGGGCGGTGTGGGTGGGGCCAGGTGGGCCGTGGGAGCCTTTGCAGGTTTTTCAGCCAGGGAGTGCCTTGCTGGCATGTGTGATTCATAGGGGCCTCAAGGAAGAGTTGGAGGGAGTAGGAGACAGTGGGCAGGGCATTGCTTTGGGGATCCTGCCCCTCACTGGCGTCTGGTCTCTGATTTGCAAACAGTAATTTCGCGTCCCTTGGAGGCTGGTCTGTGAGGCTGGAGACCGGCCTGACCCGGAGGAGCCTTTGCAGCCTATCGGTGTAGGTTGCACAGGCTCCCACAGGGGGTCCAGGGACCCTGAGACTGGGGAGGAGGGAACTTTTCCAAGCAAAATACAGCAAAACCAGAAAAAAAAATACACAAACTCACCAAAAGTAAAGAGCTTACAGAGCGAAAGGTCTGCTTCTGACCATTAAAATGTCAAAGACTGATCAGGGCCATCAGCTCCTGCTCTCTCCCCTCCCCCCCCCACCTGGGGGGTGGTGAGAAGCAAAGGCTTAAACCCTCGAGGCCCACCCTTCACCTAGGGTACCTCACCTCTAGCACCAATTCCAGGTCTTCCAGAAGCTGCTTTCTGAGGGAAGAGGGCCCAGTGTGGGCAGGCCTAGCCCCTTTGGTCCCCCTAGGGACTGGCTCACCAAATCCCCTGTCCCCCGGATCTCCTAGGTGTCCCTGTGGCGAGTCCTCTCTGACTGTGGCTTTTGACTCCCTCTTTCATTCCAGGCTGCTCACCTCTGCGGACGCATTTCTCTGGGCAGTTTTTCTGCCTGTATTTCCTGAGCTCCCTTCTTCCCACGGCCGGAAGCAGGCCCCTGGGTCTGAACACCCACTAAACTCTGGTTCTGTCTGGGGCAGCAGCCTTGGGTCTTTGCTCGGTGGCCAGCAGAGGTGACTGACATGTCCAGAGCCCAGGAGAGATCTGCTTTGGCTTTCAGCCACGCCCACTTTGCTGGGCTGGACCCTTTAGTGCTTCCCAGTATGGAGTGGATCCCAGCATGTCCCAGTCAGGGGAGATGCTTTGAGTGGGCACACGCTATCCCGCCCAGCCAGGCAGAATCCTGCCCAAGCCTGACATTGTGGGTGGTTTGGTGAAATGCCAGGGCCCAAGTGAGGGCTTGTCTGTCTTAGCTGCCCTTGGGCCCCAATCCCCAGAGGGTAAACCTGAAATGCACAGAAGTGGGGGCGTGGAAGGGCCTGGGACCCATCAGTGTGTCAGCCCCGGGGAGCAGGGAGGGGAGCTGGGTTGGGAAAGCAGCATTAGGAGAAATCCCAGCCAGGGATGCCAGCCAGTCAGCAGGGACTTCACCTGCCGCCCACATGGTGGGGCCCCATTTCCTCAGTCCCTCCAGCCTGGACCACCAGGGCCAGCTCTGAGTCCACGTTCAGTAGATGGTATTTGAGATAGTGACATTGGTTCCTTTTACTGAGCAAGGTGGACATGAACTAAGTTTGAAACTTAGAGCAGGAAACTCCATTTATAGAAGAGGAAACCGAGGCTCCCGGGGCTGGACGAGCCCCAGCTAGAGGGGCCATCCTGTCTTGGCTGGAGTCTGCCACCACACCACCACCTCCCGAGTCTCTGCCACAGGGCCTCCAGCAGCCCTGGAAGGCTTTGTCTTTTCAGCACTATTCAGCACTTAGACCTGTTCTGACGGGAAGGGTTGGTGTGTGACAGGTTTAGGAGGAAATGAATTTGAGGCCCTGCCTGTGTTAGTGCCCAGTGGGTCTGGCACCCATGCTGGGCAGCTGGATGCCTGAGCAGCGGCCTCGGGGGTCTCTGCAGATGTGCGGGCCAACGTGAAGGTGGAGTGCGAGCCCAGCTGGCAGCCCTTCCAGGGCCACTGCTACCGCCTGCAAGCCGAGAAGCGCAGCTGGCAGGAGTCCAAGAAGGCGTGCCTGCGGGGCGGGGGCGACCTGCTCAGCATCCACAGCATGGACGAGCTGGAGTTCATCACCAAGCAAATCAAGCAAGGTGAGGGGCCGCGAGTCCGCTGCTGGTCTGGGGTAGAGGGCAGGGCCTCCGGATGCCCATCTGGTCCTGCCCAGGAGGCTTGGGGATTGTTGCTTCCTCCCCTGCTGGTGGCCAAGGCTGACCTCTCCGTGTCCTTCCTCCCCTCTCTCCTGCTGCACCCCAGAGGTGGAGGAGCTGTGGATTGGCCTCAATGATTTGAAGCTGCAGATGAATTTTGAGTGGTCTGATGGGAGCATCGTGAGCTTCACCCACTGGCACCCCTTTGAGCCGAACAACTTCCGGGACAGCCTGGAGGACTGTGTCACCATTTGGGGGCCGGTGAGAATCCCCTTTCCATACCACAGGGCTCTGAATGCACCCCAGCCTTCTAGTGCTATCCCAGTCATATCGGTGCCTGCTGGGAATCCCACCCCAGTGCCTTTTAGAAGCCCTGTCTTCCCCCCTCCCCCAGCCCCTTTCCACGTGGAAAGGTTGCCAGTGTTTGACTCTTCCCTTCTTCCCACAACTAGCTGGGTCACCTTGGGCAAATTACTTAACCTCTCTGTGCCTCGGTTTCCTCATCTGTCAGTGGAACACTAACAGTGTCTACCTCAGAGGGTCACTGGGAGGATTAAAGGAGCTAATTCTCATGAAGCTTTAGGATGTTGCCTGGAGCCTTGCTGGTCTCCTGCCAGCTGCTGTTCCGCCGGCAGGTGGCACCAGAACCCGCATTACGTGGACATGCTCCCTGGACGCACTGAGACTGCTCTGTTCGGGGTCCGGTCTCCTCATGAACTTAGGGGGCGATGTCTGTTCTCCATGGCTTTACCTCAGAGGCAGTGTGCGTAGGTGGAAGAACTGGTGCAAGACTTCGAGCAGAGATAAGAATCCCTTCGTGAAAGGGACGACACCATAGGGATAGACCGCCCACTCCAGGGACAGATAGGACACTCTCCTGTGAGACACCACAAATTGTGCCAGGGACTATAAAGACACAGCCATCTAGAGTAGGGGCTGCCATTTTCAATTTTAGAAACAATTTTTGCTAAGCGTCTGCTACACCCCAGGCATTCTCCTGGGGGCGGGCACACAAGCACCTCTGCCCTCGGCTGGAGCAGAAGGCAGACAAACAGCTGGCTGGGGGGCAGAGGGCAGGGAGGGGCTGAGGACTGCATTCCTGTTGAGCTCCATCATCCGAGATCCAGGTCTGGGGGCAGCGTCTCTGCCCGGCCTGGCTCTGCAGTTACTGGCTGGACACCGTGCAGAACTGGGAATCTCATCTGTCTGTCCTGCCAGTGAGCTATAAATAATCTAAAGGAGCGTCTCTTCCCATTTCGACAATGCTGGCCAACCTTTCAAGGCATTTGCGCATCAACTCTGTTTGCTCTCATCAGCCCGGTGAGGCTTATAGAACTAATCTCGCTCTGCCCGCTTTATAGCCTAGAACACAGAGAGGTCAGGCCTCTTGACCAGAATCACACAGCAAGCAGAGGCAGGCTCAGATCTAGAAACCTGGTTTGCTGAAGGGTTTGGGAGATTTGGGGGAAGGGGGCTGAGACTCCCTCGTAACCTGTGTCCCCAGGAGGGTCGCTGGAATGACAGTCCGTGTAACCAGTCCTTGCCGTCCATCTGCAAGAAAGCAGGCCAGCTGAGCCAGGGGGCCACTGAGGAGGACCATGGCTGCCGGAAGGTGAGGGTGCTTCTGGATCTGGCGCTGGTGGGGCCAGCCAGAGGGGCACCCAGGGGGAGGGTGTGGAAACCCCGCAGCCTCCCTTCCTCGGCACACCCTGCTTCCTGCTCTTCACACTGCTCCTTCGCAGCACTGGTGTGGGGTGGGGTGGGGGTGGGGGGGGGGCTGCTTGGGGTAAGCAGAGCTCCCCACCCATGTCCCTGAGCCCCTCTCCACGGGGAAGCCACCTCCGACAGGCAGCAGAGAACAGGAGGTGGCTGTGAGTCTGGCCAGTTGTCACCTGAGTGGAGGCTGCTGGGGTGAGCCCGTGCCCTTTCTGCACCCTCTGTCTTTGCTGGCACACGTCACGCTGTCTGATGTGGTGGGTGCTTGTCTGTCTGTCTCTCCTGCAGGGATGAGGCCATTCTGGTGTCTCGCTCCTTGTGCTCTCAGCCTCAGGAGCTACCAGACGTTCAGACAGGGAATGGATTAGGACCCAGGGTGGGAGGTGGGATAAGTGAGCAGGGGGTGCTGAGTGTACGAATGAGGGTGAGAGTGGGTGAGCGGCCCATCTCCCCCCAGCCCTCCCAGGGCCCCTCCCATGGCCCCTCCCAGGCCCCCGGCCCTCCCAGGCTGAGCGGAGGTGTGAGTGGGGTGGATGTGTCTGTGGGTTTCAGCCCCTGGCAGCTCCATCTGCCGAGGCCATGCTCCTCCAGCCCAGCCCCTTACCAGTCTGGCTCCACTGTCTTCCTTTGTATTAAGCCCCCTTACCATTTCCCACCTGACCTGCACCCAAAACTCTACCCGGGGTGGGGGGGGGCAGGAAATGACAACAGGCATGAGCTCTAGTGGGGAGGAGAGAGGGAACACACAGGGGCCCAGCTGGAGCTGGGGGACCAGCATGGTCAGGGAATGGCCTGGGGGCCCTGGCCTGGCCTGGGTGAGGTGGGGGTGAGAGGTGGAGAGGAATTACTGCCAACTGCCCCGGCACCAGGGCTGGTCTGAAATGTGTGGGGAGTGCTAAGTAGCCCTGGTAAATACCCCAGGAGAGCGAGGGGTCTTAGCAGAGCCCTGCTGGGCACACAGGATTCGCCCCCTACGCGTGAGCACCCACCCATACCAGCTTCTCTTGTGCCCTGGCTCCTGCCCAGAGAGCTGCATCTCACTCTCTCAAAACCTCGAGCTCCCCCACAAGGCTCCCCACTTCAAGGCCCGCTGGAGGCAAAGGCCCTGGCAGCATCTGGAATCCTCTTAGGAGGAGCAGGGCTGAGGACAGGCACAGCCTCTGCGGTGCGGGTTCCAGGCGGGGCTCCACCTGGCATGATCTGCACACAAAGTCGAGTCTCTCAACTTCTCTGAGCCCCCGTTCCTCATCGGAAAGGCAGGAACAGAGAGCCCCTCAGGGTGGCCCAAGGGGAAGGGGTCGGTGGGGGGGGAGGGCTCGCTGCTGCCCCTTGCTGAGGGTCTGCTCCCTTCCCCACCCCCAGGCCCGGCACACCCTCCACCTCAGTTTTCCAGGCCCCTGAGGATCACCCAGCCCCTCCACATCCTGGCAGCTTCCCCAGCGTTTTAGCTCTGGTTTCTCAGCCAACTGGCAATTTTCCCGCAGCTTCTCGTGGCTAAATGTTCAAGAGAGGTGTCTGATGGGCCACTTGTCTTTCTGCGCCAGGCCACAGGCTGGGTAGCTGCCTGCCTGCCCTCCAGCCACCACCCTCGGGCCGTGCTCCCACCCCTGGTCTGGCAGGTGGGGGTAATGGTGCGGGGGTGGGGGGGGTGTGGAGTGACGGGTGCAGAATACAGCATAGGAAGGCCACGTCTGGTGTCGAACGAGTCCCCTCTGTCCTGTGCTCAAGCCGACAACACGTTCAGTGGTGCTGCCGATGGCACCCCCCTGCCCCAGGATTGATGGGTGAGAGAGGGGTGCCCTCCCCACAGACACCCCTCTGCTGCCCACTCTCTCGAGCCAGGGTTGGAAGTGGCACAGCCCGTCCTGTTACTGGCTGGGAGAGGACCAAGTGACCTACAGCGAGGCCCGGCGCCTGTGCGCAGACTACGGCTCCCAGCTGGTCACCGTCACCAACAGGTACGGGGGTGGCGCCCAGACTGGCCTTCACCCATGTCCTGGCCTCACGTGGCCCCTCCATGGAACGGCAGGGTAGCACCTGGTCATCAGCTGGCTCCAGGGCCTTTCTCTAATCCTGTCACAAGGACTCCTGGTTATTGAGCGACTCCAGGGTGGGGTGGGCCCGGGCAGGGGCACAGGCAGGTGTAGGTGTGGGCCGGATGCCCGAGAGAGGCCTGGGCTGGGTCTGACTTCCTCTGTTTCTTCTCAGCCAGGCACAGAGGGCAGACGGTGGAGGGCGATCTGGGTTGCTGTGTGTCCTCTGGGGGGTCTTTAGGGATCCCCATTCCCTGGACATTTCCTGGTCCGACTTAGCACCCAGGCTCCTGGCCGGGCATCCGGCCTGCGGCGCCAGGAGGGTGGGAGGTGTGCAGCCTGCCCTGACCAGCCCCGTGCCCGCAGGTTCGAGCAGGCCTTTGTCAGCAGCCTCATCTACAACTGGGACGGCGAGTACTTCTGGACCGCCCTGCAGGACCTCAACGGCACCGGCTCCTTCCGCTGGCTCAGTGGGGACGAGGTCACGTACACGCACTGGAACCGGGACCAGCCTGGTGAGCCCCGCCCCCACGCCGCTCAGCCAGCCCCTTCCCTGACTTCCTGGGGGACCCGTCCTACCAGGACCCGAGACCCAGGGCTTCCCAGTGAACTGATCACTCATACAACACGGCGAAGCCATTAGGAGAACGGGGTGTGGGGCCACACCACCTGTGTCAGATCTGACTCTGCTGTTTATTCACTGCACATCTTTGGGCCCCTTTCCTCACCTGTCAAGTGGGCGCATTGGTAGTTTCCTCGAAGGGTTGAAGTGAGGCTTCAACGGTTAGTGTATGTAAAGCTCTTAGAATAGTGAGTGCCATATAAGTGCTTGCTGTTATTACCATTTCACATGAATTATCTTTTTTAATTAACCCTTTGAATAACTTGCTGAGGTAGGTGATGAGAGAAGCTCAGAGAGGTTAAGCCACTTGCCTGAGAGCTCACAGGAGTAAACACAGAGCTGGGACTCTACCTCTATTCCCGTCCTCCCACCCGGGCCCCGACCTCACAGACCGTCCCTGCAGAGAGGGCCGTGTCGGTTCCAAGGGCAAGGGTGGTGGTGGTACCCCAGGGGCACGTGAGGGAAGGGCCAAGCCATGAGTCTTCCTCGGTGTAAGGGTGTCCCTTCTCCCTCCCTCAGGGTATGGCCGTGGGGGGTGCGTAGCCCTGGCCACGGGCAGCGCCATGGGCCTGTGGGAGGTGAAGAACTGCACCACGTTCTGGGCTCGCTACATCTGCCGGCAGAGCCTGGGCACACCTGTGACGCCTGAACTGCCCGGGCCTGACCCCACACCCAGCCTTACTGGTTCCTGTCCCCAGGGCTGGGCCTCAGACCCCAAACTGCGGCACTGTTACAAGGTAGGCAGCCTGTTGCATGGGGGAGGGAAAGAGAGAGGAGCCAAGAGGCAGCTCACCTTGAGGAGGGGGTCCCAGTGAGACCCAGCCACAACCCACATGGTGGACCTGAAAACGCCTCTCGCTACAGTGGGCTACAGAAAGAGCATTTCTGGTGAGACTCTCATCAGTGCACTCTGAGACTTGGCGCATAGTAGGTGCTCAGTAAACGTTTGAGGACTTGACGAAACCATGCAGATCATTGGTTTCAGAGGTTTCCAAAGGTGGGGGCTGGGCTGGCTGCTCTTCTGGGAGCCTGGCAAAAATACAGTCTTCAGGCTGCCTCTGCAGAGATGGGGATGCAGCAGGTCGTGCGGCGCCTGGTAATCTGCATTCTAAAGCCTTGCTGGTTTGGGAGCCACTGATGTAGTCTTGTGTGACATGAAAAAAACTGAAGTCCAGGGAGGACAGGGGTCTTGCCCTTGGCAGACTGTGGCTCTGCTGCGGTGGGAGCTCACACTGGGCCTCTGGTTGGGGGCACTGGGCAGCGGCGTCCTCCAGGGCCTGTGTCCACCCTGCTCCCCCAGGGCTCTTTCTCTGAGGAGCAGATTTGTCTTTAACGGCCTGGACCCCCGCCTGGTGAGGCCCCAGTCCTGCTCCCCACTGCTGTCATGGGAGGGCAGGTGTCCCCTGGGGAAGGAAGTGGGCCATTGGGGACAGCTTGGACAGCTGGACTCTGCTCCTGCAGGTGTTCAGCTCTGAGCGGCTGCAGGACAAGAAGAGCTGGGTCCAGGCCCAGGGAGCCTGTCAGGAGCTGGGGGCCCGGCTGCTGAGCCTGGCCAGCTACGAGGAGGAGCACTTTGTGGCCGACATGCTCAACAAGATCTTCGGGTACTGAGCCTGGGTCGGCGCCTGTGTGTGCGCGTGGGCAACTCCTGGCTTTGCAGGGTCAGGTGAAGGCTACTCCAGGGTGACCTGTGTATCTGCTACTAGTGCCAGGACCATCCTGGCTCCTCAAGTGGCCCTGGTCTCCCTGGGGGTCGAGACCCAGTGCTGCCCACCAGTGTTGCAGAGCCAGCAACAGCCGCCTCCCCAGACTCACAAACTTCTACACAAGGAACCGCCCTCCCCAGCCCTCCTTCTCCAGTGCAAAACCTTGTTTTTACAAGCTGATCCAAGTTGAATGTTCCCCCTCCCACCCTACACCATCCCATCATAACCCACACTCCTCAACAAAAATCTTTTCCTGAAAGACAGGAGGAGAGAGGCTACAAAAGTGAGCATTTTCCTGGGGGTTTCTCCGGGACTCCATCTCGGTCCTGTGGGTCCGGGCTCCACGACCACACACGGCACCGAGATCCCCTTAGCGCTGGGAGAAGCCCGATGGACCCCGGCTTCCTGAGATCCCAGTTCCGGGGTACCTCCTCCCAGAAAACATCACTCTTACACTATTTGACTAGTAATTATAATAGCTCACATTGATCACTTCTCACCAGGCACCAGGTACTGTGCTAAACATTTAATCCTCATTTAATCCTCTTAGCAACCCTAGGGAGAGGGTATTATCGTTGACCTGTGGGCTGATAGGTTGGGTTATTTCCCTAAAGTCACAGAGCTGGTCGACAGGTGAACCGGGCTGGAATCCAGGTTTACCTGATTCCAGAGCCCAGGTGTACCCATCCCCATCCACCTCCTAAACTCCCTCAAGTGAGAGCCTTCAGTCTTGCTGGCAGAGCACACCCAGCCCAAAGGAAAGCCAGGGAAGTGAGGCAGACCACCCACCACCCCATGAACTGGGGCTCCTTGCCCTCTTCTCTGGTGAGCGTGATGCCCAGGTGGAGAGGCCCCAGGCCCTTAGGACGGCCCAGACCAGAGCGGCAAGGGGAAGAGGGCAGGTTTGATACCTTCTCTCACCTCAATCTCTCTGTCCCCACCCCTGGGTTTTGCTGAAGTGAATCTGAGCCCGAGATCCACGAGCAGCACTGGTTCTGGATGGGCCTGAACCGCCGAGACCCCAGTGCGGGCCAGAGCTGGCGCTGGAGCGACGGCCTGGGGGTGAGGGAGCCGGAACGGGGTGGGCGGGGTCCTGGGTGGGCGGGTCTTGGCTGTGGGCGTGGCCTTCTGGGGCGGGAGAGAAGAAGATGGGTAAGTTTTGTCAGAAGTAAGGCTTCTACCCTGGGCTGGAAAGTAAAGGAAAGGAGGGCGGTGGGGACGTCCAGTCCAGGTTGGGGGTTCCTCACTCAGGCCAGGTCTCTTGTTTGTTCTGGAGATGGGGTTAGCCTGCACCTCGAGCCTCAGAACCCCCTCCCAATCTAACCTCCGTCTTCAGTTCTCGTACCATAATTTTGACCGGAGCCGGCACGACGATGACGACATCCGGGGCTGCGCAGTGCTTGACCTGGCCTCCCTGCAGTGGGTGGCCTTGCAGTGTGAGACGCAGCTGGACTGGATCTGCAAGATCCCTCGAGGTTGAGTGGGGCAGCTCTGGGGGACTGGGAATAGGGTGAAGGGCTGCAGGCCGGGAACCCAAGGGAGGGTCTCCTTTTCCTGCAGCGTCTTTGTCCACATTGTCCCTGTAGGCACAGATGTGCGGGAACCTGATGTCAGCCCACAAGGTGAGGCCCCCTGCCCCCCACGACCCCCATAGCAGTCCAGAGAGGGGAAGGGGCATCACCTCCAGGGCAGGGCCTGGCAGGCACAGAAGAGGGTTAGGGGTTCCAGCTGAGAGATGGGGTGCCTGCAGCCCTATCAGCCTGTGTTGGGTGGGCTCGAAGGCCCACCTACCTGCCCTGGCTCTGCCCTGGAACAACCTTGTCACCCTCCAAGGCCAGGCAGGCAGCTCCAGCCTGGCCACCACTCCCACGCCAGCATTACCCCTGCAGGCCGGCGGGAATGGCTGCGTTTCCAGGATGCCGAGTACAAGTTCTTTGAGCACCACTCCATGTGGACTCAGGCCCAGCGCATCTGTACGTGGTTCCGGGCTGAGCTGGCCTCTGTGCACAGCCAGGCCGAGCTGGATTTCCTGGGACACAACCTGCAGAAGGTGGGTGGGCATACAAGCGGGCAGGGGGAGAAGTGGGCATGTAGTCGCCAGGGCCAGCAGCAGAAGAGGCCCTGCCAACACTGACCTGTCCACCTGACTTCCCTAGTTCTCCCGGGGCCAGGAGCAACACTGGTGGATCGGCCTGCACACCTCAGAGAGCGATGGGCGCTTCAGGTAGGGAGGGGGCAGTGGGCTGGAGGGCAAGGGCAGGGGGCAGGGGGTGGGGGAGGGCACTTGCATGCGTGGCTAGCCTCGATCCCAGGCTGGTGTAGGGGGGCTGCACAACACAGACATGGATAGACCTGGATTTGACTCTAAATCTGCCCCTCACAGGCTGTGTGACTTTAGGCAAGTGACCTAACATTTCTGGGCCTCAGTTTTTTCATTGGAATATGAGGACAATGAGGCCTGCCTGGAAGGGTTGTTGTGAGGATTAGAAGTAAGGTATGTGAGGTCCTTAGCACAGCATCCAGCTCATTATCAGGCACTGAATCATGGCAACTCATACTATGCTGGAGTCACTCAGGAATGAGGCCCCCTCGGGACATGGTGGTCCGGAAGGGGCCTCATTGTGTGTGGCACCCACCCACCCTGCACTCAGGCAGGAAGGACAGGACCGCACAGGCGTCGGCGCACTGCTGCCCTTGGAGCCCTGCCCTGGGAGTCTGAGACTTGTTCTCTAGTTAGAGAATTCGGTGCCCGGGGGAAGCTGGGCCTTACCTGGAGGCACCAGGTCCCTGGGTCCCCAGCTGCACTGAGCACAGTAGTTCCACTTCTTAGCCTTCAGATGAGCTCCTGAACTTGGGCCCTTCCCCGCCCGCTTGCCGGTGGCCTCCTTTGCTGCATACGGGGGTGGGGAGGCCAGGGCCCAGTGCTGGAGTCACCCCTGCCTGGTGCTGTTGCAGGTGGACAGATGGTTCCATCATAAACTTCGTCTCCTGGGCACCTGGCAAACCTCGGCCCATTGGCAAGGATAAGAAGTGCGTGTACATGACCGCCAGCCGAGGTGAGGGCGAGGTGGGGGCAGAGAGGGCGTGGACGCCCAGGCCAGGGTCGATGTTGGGGGCAGTAATGTGAGCCTGGGTGGGGACTGCCAGTCTCTTCTCATCTTCTTAGCTCCCACAACTCAAGGTCTAGACCAGAGAGCAGAGGGCCTGTCCCCACAGTCCTGCAGAAGAGAACTTGAGTTTAGAGTTGGGCACAGGGACCTGAGCCCCAGCCCAGCCTCTTCCCAGGGCAGGGGGTGAGGGGCTCTGAGCCCTGCCCCAAACTGGCAGCGACTCTCCTCCCCTTTCCACAGAGGACTGGGGGGACCAGAGGTGCCTGACAGCCCTGCCCTATGTCTGCAAGCGCAGCAACAACACCAGAAAGACACAGCCCCTCGACCTGCCCCCTGCAGTCCTGGGAGGCTGCCCCCCTGGCTGGAGCCAGTTCCTCAACAAGGTAGGAGGTGAGGGCATGCAAGGGATTCCGGGGGAGGGTGTCAATAGGAGCAGGCCTAGCCTCAGGGGTCCTGGCTTTTTGGCAACATCAACATCATGGCCTCTTGCCCGTGCCCTTTGCCCTCTCCTGCTTGGCCCAGTGTCAGGGCTGGACTCCTGGGAAAATGACCCAATGTAGTAGCACCCTCTGATCCACCAGTAAATAGGGTTGTCCAAATGGTTCTTGTGTTTTCTAGATCAGCAGTGGTTAAACATTTTGATAATGAACTCCTAACTTGTAAAACAAAATATGAACATACAAAGTTTGTGTGTACATCATATCATATATATGCATGTGTCTACAAGAACTATGTTTACCTTTATATTAATGTGACTAATGTTGTATATAAGAAAATAACACATAGGACCAAAACAATATAAAGCATGAGCTAAAAGTTTAAAGTATTTTTAAAATTTAAATTATTTTATTGTTGTTCAATTACAGTTGTCCGTATTTTCTCCCCACCTCTCCCCCCACCCCCTCCAAACCCACCTCCCTCCCTTGCTTCCATCCTCCCCCTTGGTTTTGTCCATGTGTCCTTTATAGTAGTTCCTGAAAAGTTTAAAGTATTTTTAAATTTTTAACTTTTTCTATATTAGCGGCATGAAAAAATCGTGCTCACTCAGAAACAACCAGTTGTAATCACTGTTAATATTTAAATACCTGCAAAGGGCACAGCGGCTGCCTGTCCTCACGTGAAAGGCTTGTGGTCGACACTGTGATTCGTGGCTCGCAGGTCTTGTGTGAAGGTCCAGTTATTTCCAAATGTGACTTTGCTGGTTGCTGCAGATTAAAAAGTTGCCCCGCAGAAGACAAATAGGTGAAGTGAGAAAAGTTCACCTGTTGGTGGCTGGGCTTTCTAAGGCTTCTCTACAGTTTACAGTCCTCTGCCGGTTAAACAGGGTTTTTTTGTTTTGTTAATTGGCTAGTAAATTTATGCATTTTAAACTAATCTGCCTCATAAACTAATCAGGAGACTTGATCAAGTAGGTTATTTATTTTTTAAAATACATTTAGAAAATTTTCTTCCCAAGTGTTTTGAGTGTGCAGATGGGAAAGTTTGGGGCAATAAAATTAATTAGAATGGATTTGTTACTAAACATGTTGTCTTTTTAAAGATTTTATATACTGGTTGATTTTAGATAGAGAGGAAGGAGGAGAGAGAGAGAGAAAGAAACACTGATTTGTTGTTCCACTTACTGATGCGTTCATTGGTTGCTTCTTGTATGTTCCCTGACCGGGGATCAAACACGCAGTTTCGATGTATGGGGACCACACTCCAACCAACGGAGCTACCCTGCTAAACATGTTTCCAAAGTGGTCCCTCTAGTGTGAATTTCTTTCCAAAAGTGGCTGTTGGCATCCTGGGCTGAGTGATCAGACCCGAGTAGCCCTTCGTTGTTTTTACAAGTGGCTGGAGAAGCTGACTCCAGGAGGGGCAGGCCACCGTGTCCTTGTTGTCTGCGCTGCCATCATGGGCATGGGCCTCAGCCGGGCTTCCTCGCAGGGGACTGTGAGGATTCGGTCAGGCGGCCTTAGATCATGCGACCCATCAGTCTTTGTCTCACACTGGAGTGCAGCCAGACACTTAGTGTCATGGAACCCTTCATCTCAGAATATTCAAGTGAGACTTCCGGCCAAGATGGAGGCATAGGTAGATAGACACACTGTGCCTCCTTGCACAACCAAAAGAAGGACAACAACAATTTAAAAACAAAACCAGAACTGACAGAAAATCAAACTGTATGGAAGTCTGACAACCAAAGAGTTAAAGAAGAAACATTCATCCAGATGGGTAGGAGGGACGGAGATAGGCAGCCGGGCAGAGAGGACTTGTGGCAAGGCAGTGGCTGGAGGACCAGGGTGGGCAAGGCGGCAGCTGGCGGGGAGCCAGGGAGGTGGCAGCTGGTGGAGTGGGCGGTTCCACATTCATGTGCAGATAAACCGGGAAGAACAACTGGGGAGCGGGATGGATTGCGCAACCCAGGGCCCCAGTGCGGGGAAATAAAGCCTCAAACCTCTGACTGAAAACACCTGTGGGGGTTGAGGTACTAGGAGACACTCCCAGCCTCACAGAAGAGTTTGTTGGAGAGACCCACAGGGTCCTAGAACTCACACAAGCCCACCCACACAGGAATCAGCACCAGAAGGGCCCACTTTGCATGTGAGTAGTGGGGGAAGTGACTGAAATTTGGTAGAGAGCAGAGCAAGAGCCATTGTTCCCTCTCAGACCCCACTCCCACATACAGTGTCACAACACAGCAACTGGGTTTCCCCGCCCTGGTGAACACCTAAGGCTCCATCCCTCACTACCTAACAGGTGGGTCAAGATGAAAAAAATGACCCAAATGAAAGAACAGATCAAAGCTCCAGAAAAAATACAACTAAATGATGAAGAGATAGCCAACCTATCAGATGCACAGTTCAAAAAACGGGTAATCAGGATGCTCACAGAATTAGTTGAATTTGGTTGCAAATTAAATGAAAAAATGAAGGCTATGCTAAATGAAATAAAGGAAAATGTACGAGGAACCAACAGTGAGGGGAAGGAAACTGGGACTCAAATCAACAGTGTGGACCAGAAGGAAGAAGGAAACATTCACCCAGAACAGAATGAAGGAACAAGAATTCAAAAGAATGAGGAGAGGCTTAGGAACCTCCAGAACATCTTTAAATGTTCCAGCATCTGAATCATAGGGGTGCCAGAAGGAGAAGAGGAAGAGCAACAAATTGAAAACTTATTTGAACAAATAATGAAGGAGAACTTCCCCAATCTGGCCAAGGAAATAGACTTTCAGAAAGTCCAGGAAGCTCAGAGAGTCCCAAAGAAGTTGGACCCAAGGAGGAACACACCAAAGTACATCATAATTACATTACCCAAAATTAAAAATGAGAGAATCTTAGAAGCAGCAAAAGAAAAGGAGGCAGTTACCTACAAAGGAGTTCCCATCAGACTGTCAGCTGATTTCTCAAAAGAGACCTTATAGGCAAGAAGGGGCTAGAAAGAAATATTCCAAGTCATGAAAGACAAGGGCCTACATCCAAGATTACTCTATCCAGCAAAGCTACCATTTAGAATGGAAGGGCAGACAAAGTGCTTCTCAGATAAGGTCAAGTTAAAGGAGTTCATCACCACCAAGCCCTTATTTTATGAAATATTGAAGGGATTTATCTAAGAAAAAGAAGATAAGAAATATGAGCAGTAAAATGACAGCAAACTTACAATCATTAACAACCACACCTGAAATAAAAACAAAAACAAACTAAGCAAACAACTAGAACAAGAACAGAACCACAGAAATGGAGATCATGTGGAGGGTTATCAGTGGGGGAGTGGGAGGGGGAGAGAGGGGGAAAAGGTACAGAGAATAAGTAGCATAGATGGTAGGTAGAAATTAGACAGGGGGAGGGCAAGAATCGTATAGGAAATGTAGAAGCTAAAGAACTTATATGTATGACACATGGACATGAACTAAATGGGGGGAATGTGGGTGGGAGAGGGTGTGCAGGGTGGAGGGGAGTGAAGGGGGGAAATGGGAGAACTATAATAGCAAAAAAATGTATTTTAAAAAATATTCAAGTGAGTATTATACCTTTTCTATTTAAAAAAGATGTGTCTTATTAAACCATTGGAAAATACAGAGAGAGAAAAAACTCATACTCTCCGGAGATAACCAGTATCAGTGTTCGTTGCTTCCCTTCCTGTCTTTTCCCACACAACTGAGTTTGTACTAAATAACACAATTTCATATCTAGTTTTTTGGTCAGTGTTGTATTTTGAACATTTTCTCATTTTGTTAAATTTCCAAAAACGTATTCTCTTGGCTTCTTCCACCTAGTATAAAACAGAATATATTTTACATATATTCGTTATCCCTGATTGCACTGCCTCTGAGCAGAAAATTACTGTAAATAATTTATTTTAAAAGAAACAGTCTTCACTTGATAAAGATTTCCCACATAGGAGGTTCTTTTGACCTTATGGAAGTAATAAAGGTGAGAAAAGAAACATAAAATTACGGGAGTTAGAACCTGCTCCCCCACAAAAGTCATTCAGAAATAAAGATAAGCCCTGGCTGGTGTGGCTCAGTGGATTGAGTGCCAGCCTGCAAATGGAAAGGTTGTGGGTTCGATTCCCAGTCATGGCACATGCCTGGGTTGCTGGGAAGGTCCCTGGCTGGGGGCATGTGAGAGGTGACTTATTGATGTTTCTCTCACACAACAATGTTTCTCTCCCTCTCTGTCTCCCTCACTTCCCCTCTCTCTACAAATAAATAAAATTTAAGAAAAGATAAGAGTATCCAGAGATAATCATATATGTTCAAAGGGCAAGGTAACAGATTTCAGACAACACTTCCGAAGACGTTTAGCAGAAAGCGAGACGGACCTTGTCCGTCCTCCCAGTGCTTGGCCCAGGTGCTGTTCCCACGTGTAGTAGAGCCCTTGGTGGCCCAAAGAAGTCCTCCCACTAACACTCCCCCAAGTGTGGGCAGTTGTGTGTGGTCTGCTGCGCCAGGTTGTGAAGGTGCTGGAGACTTGTCCCAGGAGACCCCGATGTCCTGGTTGTGAGAGCCCCCAAAGCCTCCCCAGGCCTGCTCCTGAGGGGTATGTAGGGGCGTTTCTGGGTTTGTGAGACAGGGAGGTGGAGCTGGACATCAGCCTGTCCTTCTTCCCCCAGTGTTTCCGAGTCCAGGGCCAGGCCCCCCAAGACCGGGTGAAGTGGTCAGAGGCACAGTTCTCCTGTGAACAGCAGGAGGCCCAACTGGTCACCATCGCCAACCCCTTAGAGCAAGGTAGGGGCTGGCCCCTGGGGAGGCCTGGGAGTCCTCAGACCCAGTCCCCCAAAATGGCTAGTGCAGAGTGAGCAGGGGCTGCCTGTTCGTTCATAACTCTCTTCTGGGGACCTCAGCCTTCATCACAGCCAGCCTGCCCAATGTGACTTTTGACCTTTGGATCGGCCTCCATGCCTCGCAGAGGGACTTCCAGTGGGTGGAGCAGGAGCCTGTGCTATTCACCAACTGGGCACCAGGGGAGCCCTCGGGCCCTAGCCCTGCTGCTAGTGGCAACATACCGGTGAGGAAGCCCGTCCCCCTCTCCTCCACCCACCCTCTGCCCCACTGCCCTAGCTTGCGGTGCTTGCCTTCGCTCCGCTCCCCGCTCCCCGGGGCCCCCTTCCAGCCTCTTTGCTGATAGTGCCTTTTGGGGGCAGTGGCACAAGGTGGAGGCAGCTGTGGGGGCTCCCCTGAGCAGCTCCTTTCCCCCAGACCAGCTGTGCGGTGGTCCTGCACAGCCCCTCAACCCACTTCACTGGCCGCTGGGATGATCGGAGCTGCACGGAGGAGACACACGGCTTCATCTGCCAGAAGGGCACAGGTGTGTGTCACCAGGGAACTCGGGCACCCAGCTCTGGGTTGGATGCCGAGGGCTCTGCCAGGAGGAGTGAAGCATGGCTCCTGACCTCACCCCCAGAGTCTCGTGTCCGCTTGGGAGGCGCCGGGGCAGAAAGGCCTGGTGGTGCCAATCAGAGGGAAAGGCAGTGAGCAGTGAGGGGTCTTGGAAGGCAGGTTTGGGTATGAAGGTCTGACCAGGGAGACCAGACCCTAGGCATCCACGGTGTCGAGAAACCTGAGGTTCTGTCCGAGGTGCCTGCAGCTCCCCACTCAGGTCCTGCTGCCCTGGGTGCCTGGGTGGGAACAGGTGAGGGCTCTCGCTTGCTCCTCAGTCTATTGGCAGGAGTACGTCATTGATCTAAGCAGCAGCTAACAGTCACTATCAGTCTGCCAGCCCCGTGCGCAGCGGAGGCCCGGCCTCTGTGGACGTCTGGCACTCCCCCAGCCTCACGCCCAGGGACCAGGTGGGGGAGGCAGAGCCCTCCTGAGCCCTGTCTCCTTCCCTGTAGACCCCTTGCTGAGCCCGTCCCCAGCAGCATCGCCCCCCGCCCCTGGCGCTGAGCTCTCCTACCTCAACGGCACCTTCCGGCTGCTGAAGAAACCACTGAGCTGGCACGATGCCCTCTTGCTGTGTGAGAGCCGCAACTCCAGCCTGGCACATGTGCCCGACCCCTACACTCAGGCCTTCCTCACACTGGCCGCCCGAGGCCTGCGCACGCCACTCTGGATCGGGCTGGCCAGTGAAGAGGTGGGCCCCCAAACTCCCCCGATTTCCCTCCCCGTCCCTTCCTAACCCCCTGCCGTCCCTGCCCCCGCCTCCCTGGCTGGTCCCCTTCCTCCCACCCTGACAGCCCGTCCTGCCCAGGCCTCCCGGCGGTACTCCTGGGTCTCGGAGGAGCCGCTGAGCTTCGTGGGCTGGCAGGACAGGGAGCCCCAGCATATTGGGGGCTGTGCCTACGTGGACGTGGACGGGGCCTGGCGCACAACCAGCTGTGAAACCAAGTTGCAGGGGGCTGTGTGCGGACTTAACAGTGGTGAGTGCTCACCTGCTGTGGGGGGGTGGGCAAGGCATAGATTGTTCCAGGGAGGACCCTGGGCCACTTCCTCAGTTCTGCATCCCCTCAGGGCCCCCTCCTCCCCGAAGAATAAGCTACCATGGCAGCTGTCCCCAGGACCTGGCCGACTCCGCATGGATTCCCTTCCGGGAGCACTGCTACTCCTTCCACATGGAGCTGCGGCTGGGACACAAGGAGGCGCTGCAGCGCTGCCAGCAAGGTGGGCAGGGCCGGCGGGAGCCCCCTCTCGCGTGTCAGATGGGGACCCCTCTCGTGGACACTCTGACCCCGTGAATGCAGTCCCCACGCTCCACCCTTCCCACAGACACTCGCACGCAAGTGCCCTGTCACATTCCCATAGACCACACGCGGCACCACACGGTGTGCCTCTATGGCGCACACACAAATGCAGGGACTCCACACCATCCTCTGCTCTGGTGGCCAGAAAGTGGGGTGGGACCTCTGGGGGCTCTGCCACCCCAGGGAGACCCCCTGTCCTGATGTGGACCTCCCCTGTGTCCAGTGGGGGGAACGGTCCTGTCAATTCGGGATGAGATGGAGAACGTGTTCGTCTGGGAGCACCTGCAGAGCTTTGAGGGCCAGAGTCGGGGCGCCTGGCTTGGCATGAACTTCAACCCCAAAGGTGGGTACCCTGCGCGTGGGTTGGGGAGGGCAGGGCCTCAGGCTGTAGGGGAGATGCCCTTCACCCGGGCATGGTGGGGTGAGGACTTTTTTTTGGCGGGGAGTGGGTTCCAGAGCAGGCTTGCTCTCTCCCACCTCCTCCTGCTCTGCCTCGTCTACCTTCCCCCATGCCCCTCGGTGTCTTCTTTCCCATAGGGGGCACCCTGGTCTGGCAGGACAACACCGCTGTGAACTACTCCAACTGGGGGCCCCCCGGCCTGAGCCCCAGCATGCTGAGCCACAACAGCTGCTACTGGATCCAGAGCAGCAGCGGTCTGTGGCGTCCGGGTGCCTGCACCAACATTACCATGGGCGTCGTGTGCAAGCTCCCTCGAGGTGAGCGCCCCGGCAGGCCCGCCGCTCAGCCTCCTCCTCCCCACAAAGCTGGGACTGGGGTGGGCCAGAAGCCGATGCTCATTCTGCAGTAGACACAGTGCAGGGGAAGGCATGGACAGGCAGGTCTGGGGTGCTGGAACCCTCTGCTGGGATAAATTGGCCTGTAGGAAGGACTGGCTCTTTCTACAAATTTCCAAGCCAGACAGCAAACCCGTCATTTTGTAGTAGCTAAGGGCAGGGACAGGGTTCAAGCCCCAGCAAACCACTTACCAGCTCTGTGACCTTGGTCAAGTTACTTAAACTCTATGGCCTCAGTTTTCTCATATGTAAAATGGGGATAATAACAGTACCTACAAGATTAAATGAGCTAATGAAAGTGTCTGGCACTCGGGGGCCCTGTCTGTGTTTGCTGCTTATTTTATTACATTATTACCACCACCACTACTGCCACTAACTGGCCCCTCCCTCTTTCTCACAGCTGAGGAGAGACGCTTCTCCCCATCAGGTGAGTGGAAGGCAAGGCTGGGACTCCTTTTCCCGGCATTTCGGCATTTCGGGAGGGGGCCAGTGGCCGGGCCTCTTGACCAAGTGTCTGTCTTGCCACAGCAGCGCTCCCAGAGAACCCGGCGGCCCTGGTGGTGGTGCTAATGGCCGTGCTGCTGCTCCTGGCCCTGGTGACCGCAGCCCTGATCCTCTACCGGAGGCGACAGAGTGTTGAGCGTGGCACCTTCGAGGGTGCGCGCTACAGCCGCAGCTCCTCCAGCCCCGGAGAGGCCACTGAGAAGAACATTCTGGTGTCTGACATGGAAATGAACGAGCAGCAGGAGTAGAGCCCAGGGCATGGGCAGGGCCCGGGCGGGAGGAGCCGGATCGGCCGGGCCCTCCCTGTCCCGGCTGCCAGGGCAGGTGGCCTGTGGAGGGGTCCTTGGGAGCCGCTGCTGGGGCTGGGGCTGGGGCTGGGGCTGGGGCTGGGCGAGACCTGGGCTGGTAGGGTCCCTCCCTCCCTGAGGGCTGGGCAGAGACCTGGCTGAGTGCAGCATGGTGTTTCCTTTTCTGGGGTCCTAGAGTCTAAAGTCTTGACCTGGACGTGTGCCCCCAGAGCAACCAGAGGCAAGACAAAGCCTCTTTCTGCCTCTTTCTCCCTAGACCCCCCTGCCCAGGCCTGCTGACCAAGCCCCAGGTCCCCCTTCTCACTGTGGAGCCTGAGGAGCCTCCGCAGAGCCCTCAGCCAGCCTCTGTCGCTTCCCTCCTTCCCGCCTGGCAGCCTCAGTGCTGAGTCCCGCGCCACGGCCTGCGCCCCGCTTCTCACTCAGCCCTTCCTTCTGAGCCAGGGCCTTGGGGCTTGGGGAGTCTTCTTGCTCTTAGTGGGGGTCAGCTTGAGGAGTCCAAACATCCATCACTCCTGTGCTTGCTAGGGTGGCCTTGGGGCATGGCAGGGGCGGCCTGGGTCGGGCCTGAGAACCAGGGCGCCACGGTGGTGTCAGGTGGGCTGGAGACAAGACCGAGGAGTGACTGGGCTAGGCTGGGGTGTCATCTCCTGCCGGTCGGGGGAGGGCTCTAAAAAGTCCCTAAAGAGTCCCCTGTGGGGACCAAAATAATTTCCTTAATGTTTCCAGCTCCTGGCTCTGATTTGGAGAGAGAGAAGGGGGTTGCCAGAGACCTGGGGGCCTCCGAGAAGCGGGAGCCTGGGTTAGCTCCAGGTGCGCGCCCTCTAGTGGGGTCCAGAGGAACAGCACCCATGCTCCTGGCACGGCCCCTCGCAGGGAGCTGACTCTGCCTTCCCGAGAGGCTGCGATCCCAGCCCCAGTGGAGTGTACGGCCAGTCCTGGCGCCTCGCAGGACAATGTGAACATGGACTCAAAGACATGGTCCTTTTTTGTAGTTCTTTTTTTAATGTGCCATTATTGTAAAAAAAAAAAAACCTAAAAAGAAAAGCACACAAATAAAACACCTTTAAGAGGCCTGAGAGAGGGGTTCCTGCCGTGTCCTGTGGTGGGCCTTGTTCCTCATATCACTTGGGATAAATGTCATGTTTCAGCCGGCATCTCCCGTTATTTCTGCAGTGAACCGTTTGGCTTCTGTCGCTGGGCCCCACGGGGACACCTTCAATTCACTCTGGTCTCTCCTTCTGGGACCTCACCTTTCTGGGCCTGCTCACCCTTCTCTCTATTCCTGGGGAGCTGTGTGGGTGTGAGCTCGGATGACTTAGCTCAACTTCCAGCAGGTGTAAAATGAGAGAGCAGGACTCACCTGTGAGGGCTGCTTGAAGGCTGTTGGAGGGTTAAGTGAGGTCATCTGTGCAAAGCAGTCAGCGCAGCGCCTCGAGCTCAGGCAGCGAGAGCCCACAAACGTCCCCTGTTACTGTTGTTTCTGGGCTGTGGCTCTGAGGGGAGCATTCGGGGTGCCCAGGCCAGCCCTGGGTGGGGGCTCCACGCCATCTGCCTTCCAGGGCAGCTTTTGAACTTCAGGAAGGCACACACTTGACCTTGGGAGCTTGGGCTCTGAAACCACCTAGAGGCAATGGATCGCCGGACTTCCCCCGACCCACCTTCACTCATTCAGAGGATGCTTGAGTTGGAGATACAGCAAAGAACAAAGAGACAGCCCTGCCAACACAGGATGGTCCACTCTGCCAGGTCAGCCAGGTGCTGTGAGGACAGCTAAAGCCAGCCGAAGGGAGGGTGTGCTGGTCTGGACGCTGGTTGGGGAGGGTCTCACCAGAGGGAGGTGAGGGGTGAACAGTGCAGACAGGAAGGTCAGGTCCCAGGCACCAGGAACAATAAGTGCCCGTGGCGCTGTTGTGGGGGTCCTGGAGCTTTAGGGGACCGACAGGGAGGCCAGCCTGGCTGGACCTAGGGGTGCAGAGTGTGGAGAGATGGAGGCAGGGCAGTTGGCAGGGGTGCAGCCGCCCAGCGGTGGAGAGCATGGGTGTTGGTTTAGGCAGAGTGGGAAGTCAGTGGGAATGGCTAATCCGATCGACCTTTTAAGAAGGTGGTTTGGCTTGTGGTGGTCAGATTGTGTGCATGTTGTACCTTGTTCGTGATTTTTAAAAACAAGTTTCTCCTGCTCTGAGTAGGTAATAGTGCCACATGGTTCAAAGCCTAAATGACATAAGAAAGATACACATTGAGAAGTCTCACCCTGTTCTTCTCCAGCTATTTTCTGAGTCCAAGGCTGAGGTCAAGTCTAAGGCCCTTCTGCAGCTTCCTTTTGGGGTTAAATCCCCAGTCATGGCCCACAGCTCAGCTGTAGGGAGTCACCCTAGGGCAAAAGCCCTCGCTCTGGGAGGGAAAAGCTGAGGGGTGAAGGCAGGGTTACAGGCTCCCGGGGTGGCAGGGGCAGCTGAGGAAGTGAGGACCCAAATGCCCCGGGCTGCCTGGAGGCAGTGGCTGGTTGAATGTCCAGAGGTTTAAATCACTCCAGTAATTAATACCTGTCCTCACTCCCGTCTGCTGGAGCCCTGCTCCACTCACAAGCGGTTCAGACAGCTTCTCAGGCCTTGGGGGCCCCCCACAGACATGTTCTGTGCCTTCTTGTTGGGAAGCTCTGCCCTGCCAGAGGAGGCTAAGGGCAGGAGGAAGGCTCTGGGCCCAGCCATTTGCCTCTGGCTCCAGGATAGCCCTGTGTCACCAGAGCACGGGACAGAGCTTCCTTTCTGCTCATGTCAATTCGCTAAGCACCAGCACCTCCGCCATAGGCCATCTCTGCCAGGAGGGGCGTGCCCTGAGACCCATCCCCGTGGGCCAGGCACAGGTCGCTGTGTGCCAGGCACTGTGCCCAGCCTGCCCTGGCAGGACTGGACCGGCCCAGCTCTGGCCACCTGGACATTCAGTGACAGCTCGCCGAATCCATGAATGAATGGGAGAGCAGTGTCAGGCCTTTAACAACCTCTTCTTGTCAGGGCAGAGAGGCCTCCTCCCAGGTGTCCTGGCAGAGCTGGCCCGGCCCAGTGGGCAGCGCTGTGAGGCTGCGGGGGTGGGGAGCCGGCCAGCCACACCACATGGCTCTCCTGGAACGGAGCCGCCTGAGCCTGCCGGGCGGCCTTGAGCACGAGGGCTGAGTCTATGGCAGGGACAAGGTAAAGATTTCATCCTGAGGTGGGACCCCGAGAAAGGAAGGCGGGAAGAGGGGGGCAAAGGGAAAGGAGTGGGGACAAGCCCAGAGAGGCTGCCGGGGGACCAGCGTGAGATCGGAGTGGCCGGGTGTTCGGGCCTGGCCTGATGTTCCTAATCTTAGGGGCCGGGCTGCCAAGAGCCCCAGGAAAAGGCTGACTTCAATCTAGAGCTGCGGATTTCAGTCTGCCCTCATCTGTAAGAGCAGGCGGGGCGCCAGCCCTGGAGAGAAAGGAAGGAGCGAAGCCACAAGCCGGCACTTCCCAACCGAAAGAAACGGAGTTGGTGCTGCAGTCAGTAAAAAAAAAAAAGACTCTCTTCTGTACTGGCTGATGGCAAAACTTCCATTTTAGCCCTTATAGGGAAATCCTGGTCAGTTGGCCTTTTTTCCTTTCCTCCTTAAAGTTCTGAGGTCTACGGGTGTCCAGAGATCTTGACCTTGTCGTCATATGTCCCTGCAGGCTAGTCCCTGCGGGCCAATGCAGAGACACCCTTCTGTATCTCCCTGGGGCTCGGGAAGCTGTGGGTGGTGTCTTTCCCGTTACTGGGGCTGCAGGAGGTTCCGGTCACTGCTCCAGACACACCATTCATTTCTCCACGGTGATGGTAGTGAAGAGAATGTTTATTGCGTGGTTACTAGTGCTGCCCTGTCCTAACTGCTGGCCAGGAATTAACTCCCTGTATCCTCCCAACACACCAGGAGGTAGGTGCTCTTGCGCCTTTTTGCAGATGAGCAAACTGAGGCACAAAGAGAAGAACTTGCCCCCTCCCCCGCCCTCCCTGTGCTATAGAAAGTGTTGGGGGTGGGCAGCCAGTACTGGAGAGCCCCCCATCCCTCTTTGCAATCTTGCAGTCAGGCTCTGAGACATAAGAACTTTGTCTCAACCTGCCATCTCTGCCGAGGGTTCCAGAAGCCTGTTTTGAGTGTAAGGGCTAAGAACGAATCTCTTTCCTTTTGTTCCATGCTTCCCTTCCAAGGTAGTGACTGTCGCCCCAGCTTTCCGAAAGCAGAGCGTTCCTAGGAGCCCTCCCGTAGGTTGGAAGGACGTGTGTGGAGTGAAGACGAGCACCCCCAGACCCAAGAGTCAGTGTGTACGTCAGGTCTTCGTGTCGTTCACCATGATCCAAATGCTCCGCTGTGTCACACCAAGTGTTTCACACCAAGTGTGGCAGCCTTACGCACTCTCTCAGTCTTTCCTGGCGCCTCAGGGCGCGTCCGGCCAGCGGGTGCACGGAGTAAGTCCAGGTGAAGCACGGCCCCCACAGACGCAGTGCAGGGCTCTAGCCGCTGGTGGCTGGGCTGCCCAGCTGGTTCCTGGGGACCGGGCGCTCTCACTGCTCCCGCAAGGGCCCGCTACAAAACAAACACGGAACACGATTTTCACTTTTTGCCTTTTTTCGTAGAAGTGCAAGTCCTCTTCAGGTTTCCTTGGTTTCCTTACTAGTGTAGGTCTTTCATAAAAGTGCAGTGGCGGGAAGAGAACTTTCAGAAAGCAGGGGACACGTAGGTTGCCCGGGCTGCGGTAGGACCCTGGGGTGTAATGTGGAGAATGCACAGAGATGAGGTGGAGGCTCGGTTGATGTGTAGACATCGACACGCTCTTAGATGTTTGAAAGCTCACATTCATTTCCCCAGTGAAGTCGGCCCTCCCCAAGCCACTGAGCAGCAGGCTCCTCTCTTCCTCTCTCCTCCTGCCTGCTCTTCCAGGTCCCCCTTCCCTCCTCTCTCCAGTCGGGGTTGGTGGCTTTTGGTGGCTCTCTACAGCTGTGTGTGGACCCTTCCTGACCTGACCTTGGAGGCAGGCGAGGGGGTGGGGGGGCGGGCTCCCCTGCTCAGTGACCCCATCCTAACCCACTGCTCCTGCACACGTCTCTGTGTCCCCAGCCTGGCCTTCCCTGCCCCGCCTCTCTGCTTGCCCGGGCCCACCATCCTCCGAGGCCCTTGCTCGTATCCCCCTGACTTCAGAGCTGGCTAAGGATGTTCTCTCTCAGCCAGAAGCCGGCCTTGGCCAACAGGCTGACTTACACCCTGCAGGCTGGGGTGCATCACTTCCTTCAGCCTAGATTTTGTGATGGTTCATTTTATGTGTCCACTCGATGGGGCCGAGGTGAAACATTACCTCTGAGAGCGTGTGTGAGGGTGTTTCCCGAAGAGACTGGCATTTGACCGGGTAGGCTGTGTGAAGGACATCGCCTCCCCAGTGCGGGTGGACATCCGTCTATCCGCTGAGGGCCTGAAGGCAGGGAAAGGGCCAACGCTGTCTCTGCTTGAGCCGGGCCATCATCTTCTCCTGCCCTCGGACACCTGTGGTCCTGGTTCGTGGACCCTTGGACCTAGACAGGACCCATGCACACCACTGGCTCTCCTGGTCCTCAGGCTTTTGGGGTTGAGCTGGAACTACAGCACATCGCTGGCTTTCCGGGGTCTTCAGCTCGCAGATGGCAGATCGTGGGACTTCCCAGCTTCCATAACTGCATGAGCCAGCCCTCCTAATCAATTTCTTTCTATAGATCTGTGTAAACCCTGTTGGTTCTGTTTCTCTGGAGAACCCTAATGCAGGCTTCCTCCCTTGTTATGAGGGGTTAATGACATCGGCCTCACAGGCTTGCTTGCGAGGATTGAAGATGAACGAGAAATGTCATCCCCAGGCCCAGCCCACAGTGGCAGCTGTAGACGCATTTCTTCCATCTGACTTTTTCTGTTTGTGTCCTGTGGCCCCAGTGTGACTGAGCTCCAAGAGGGTGGGCATCATGAATTTTTTTCCTGGGTCCTGACAACCTGGCATGTAGTTGATGGTGGGTAAATGTTTGAGGGTCGTGATGCCAGCTCGTTGAAGAGCCAAAGGCTTGGAAAGACCCTGTGTCCCAGCCACTGTGTGGCAGCCTTGTAGATTCTGGTGATACTTACCCAGGCGTAGAGGGGAAAGATAGCCCTTTGCATCACTTTTATTGAGTTGGCGAAAAGGTCCATTTGGTTTTTTCTGTGCGATGGCTCTAGTAACGCTTAGTTGTCTTTCACTTTGTTCGAAACAATTTGTGAGGTTGTGTTCTGACAGCTGCCATATCAGCATGAACTTAAAAAACTTCTCAAACTTGCTGAATTTTTGTGCAGTCATTTTAATACTGAAGATGGAAGAAAATGCGCAACATTTTCAGTATATTAGGCTTTATTATTTCAAGAAAGGTAAAAACACAACTGGAATGTGAAAAAAGAGTTGTGTGGTATATGGAGAAGGTGCTGTGGCTGATCAAATGTGTCCAAAGTGGTCTGCAAGGTTTCATGCTGGAGATTTCTCGATGGACAATGCTCCACAGTCAGGTAGGCCAGCTGAAGCTGATAGCAATCAAATCGAGACATTAGTTGAGAACAATCAACGTTCTACCATGGGGGAGAGAGCTGATGTACTCAAAATATCCACACTAATAAAGTTATTGGTGAAAATGAAAAGTATGTCTGTTATTTTACAGAAAAATAAATGTAACAGACTTTTTGGCCAACCCAATAATAAATAAGACTTGGTCTCATTTGGTGCCTCGGACCACAAGAAGCCCCAGTGCCAAACCCTGGGCTGCCACCAAGCTGAGCTGGTGACGTGGGCAGGTAGCAGTGCACCCCAGACCTCGCAGGAGGCGCTCCTGGTTGTGTTGGTAAGTCTCCAAAGACAGTTAGAAAGAGCATCATTTTCAAAAACAACACGGGCTGATGTAGACCCGTGACTATCTCAGCATTGCCGCCTCCAACACTGTCACCTTGCACCGTGGACTCAACTTGTCAGGATGTTTCCACAGTCACCTCCAACCCCACCCAGCTCTCTGCACGCTGATCTTTAAATTGGCATTGTCCCTTCTGAGCCGTTTCTCAGTAGTGGCTCCTAGATAAATCTCTGCTCCTCAGTTGGTTGACTTTGAAGTTCAGTGGAAAAATAAAGGCCCATTTTCGTAGAGAATTGTTAGGGCTTGCGGCTCCAGTTTGTGAATGGAGGAATTGAGGTTTTAGGAATTTTATTTACTTCATGAGATATTTTCCACTTGAATGACTTTTCTAGGCTCTGTTGACATTCAAAGGTGTTGACCTTTGATCTTGGATGCAGGCCGCCTGGTTGAATCTACTTGTTTGTGGTAGTTAAGTGGCTGTGTTTGAGGAACACAGAGGAATGGGACAAGATCCCGAGGGGATTCGAGTGCAGCCTTCCCGACACCCCGTCGGCACCACAGCTCCTCTCAGGTGAAGCCCGCTCCGCAGCAGAACCTGCAGTGCCGCTCCCGGTCGGAGGAGTGCGGCTCTCAGAGGCGGGGAAGACGCCCTTGTTCCCTGCATCGTACCCCGCCGCCACCCTTTCTCTGTTCCTCCAGATTTTAGAAAATGTTCTGGGGATTGTTTTATAGTTAGATCGGAGGATTCACCCACTGTACGTGCAGTTTAGTGAACTTGGGCAAATTTGTCCAGTTGTGGAAACATTCGCACGAACCGGCTCTGGGACACCTCCATCACCCCCAGACCCTCCTGGGCGGCTGCACTCCGTCACTGCTCCCAGCCCCGGCCCGTGGCCACCGAGCCTTCTGTCTTGCCTCGAAATGGCACATAAATAGAATCACACAACCCGCGTCTTTCGTGTCTGGCTTATTTCACTTAGTGCACTATTTTTGCATGTATCAGTAGTTTGTGCCATCTAGCCCCCCTCCCCCCACTATCTTTTCTCTCTTACACACACACGTGCACACACACACATGCACACACACACATGCACACACACAGACAGAAACACATCATTTTCTTACGAGCCGCTGGCATTTTGCACGCTGTTTGATCTAGTCTTTGGGCCCTAAGATGTAGTTAGAAGCATGGGGCCCACCCACCAAACAGGTCCTCGGGGGGCACCTAAGGGCAGCCAGGCATCCAGCAGAACTAGCCCATGGGTGTCAGGGACTCGTCACCCCTCCTGACGGTGATGGTGGGACGCAAGAGTGGAAGTGGGGAGGGGTTTGTGCTTCCCCCTCCTCCCAGCTGAGATGAGCCTTTGTCCAATAAGACTGAAAGAAGCTCAAAGTGAAGCTGGGTGAATTAAGTCAGTTTATTGAATATGTGGCTCGATGCCACTTGGTGGAGGCGTGAACAGGTGCCCTCAGCAGAGGAGACCCCAGGCCACTGGGCTTGACAGGGCTACTGGGCCCCTGGGGCTTCTGGGCTGAGAGCAGCAGCAGGGCAGCCCATGGGGGCCCAGCAGGGCCAGGCTGCCGGCCTGTGCTGTCTGGGACTGTTGCTGTCCCGGACGCTCAAGCCAGACCCCAAGAGGAGACTGGCATAAGGTGGAAACGGTAACTGCGGACACATTCGTTTCAGTTTCAGTAAAGAGGAGGAGGAAGGGGGACACTTGGGGACAGAGAGGGCGGCTGGGGGAGACGTCTCTGCCGAGCTCCGTGGCCAGCGCCCTTGCTAGACGACCCTGCTGTTGCCTTGATGAATGCCGTTTTCGGTTCCATCTCCCAGCTCGGCATCTGGAAAGCAAGGAGATCTCTCAGGCGGCAGAGCCTCAGCAGACTGAGGGATCTGGCACGGAGGGTGTGGCATTGCTGCACCTCTGCCCTGACCCCAGCCCGGTGGCCAGCCGCGCACAGAAGGGCTGGAACAGTGTGTGGGGGTGGCAGAGACCATAGCCTGGGGCCAGGGAATTTGCAGACTGCCCACTGGGCTCCCAGCCAGGCCAGGGCAGCTGGACTGTAAGGCCCTCAGTGAAGGTATCTTACTCATCTCCACATCTCCACACAGCCTGGTGCTGCAGATGTTTGCAGGATGAGGCGCTGAAGGAGCCTCTCACGGTAATACTGCCATATAAACTCTCACTTTCTTAACTTGTCAGGAAGGAGGGGAATTGGCCTACATTGTAAAGAAGTCTTCCAGAGACCCAGTGGCTGGAAGCAGAGGGTCATGTGATGAGAGGGAGGGAGGGAGGGCGGGCAGAGAGGCAGTTGGGTCTGAGTGAGGAGATACAGTGGGGGTAACGGCTCTTTATTCTTAGGGGAAACTCTTGTTCTCAATATGTCTTTTTTTTCCCCCTGGCTTGAGCGAGTATTCCCTGACTATTTGGATATGGTTGGTTTTTGAAAATTGAAGGAGGGGAGGGAGCAGCAGCAGCAGCAGTTGACTGTACCCCCCCCCCCCCCGACCATTCCTAAGGCCTCTCAGCTTCTACCTCTGCCACAAGGAGCCCCAGTCCCACAAGCTGCCTCTGTCCATTCACCTATCCTGTTCTTTCCCCCAAAGCTTTGACCTGAGCAAACAGTGGGGAAGTGCTCTGGCCCCGCCTTTGGCCTGAAGGCCCTCACACCTGCTTCTCTCCACACCTGTACTGATAGCTGCAGGGTGCACTGTTCTCCTTCCTGGCCTTGGACTTGGCTGTGGTGACAGTCATTTGTGCTACCTGGGAAGGGGCACTGGGTCACAGAGAGGTGTGACAGGTTGTCGGACCTGGGCATACCCACCCAGGGACACTCCCCAGCTGCCCTTACCTCTGGTCACCTGTGGCATTTGTGTGTGGCCTCGGTTACCAGGTGTAGGAGTCGGGGTACCTAGTGAGAAGGTTGGCGTGGGCACTACAGAACCACAAAGAGGCTGGCATCTCTTTATGCCACCTAGTGGGCCCTGATGTTTTGCCTTTTTCCCTTCCTGTTTGCCTGAACCGAGCCAGGTGGCAGGTCACAGCTGTGACTCAGCTCTGGCAACCCATCTTAACAAAGTGTTGCCAACCAGGTGAGTCATGACAGGCTGCTGGGGACTCAAGAACAGTGTGGCTCGAGGGAGGGTGGAAGCCATGTGGCTTTGCCTCTGGCTGCCCTGGCTCTTTTCTCCATCATGGCTCTGGCGGGAAGCCAGGCAAGGGCAGCATCTGATTCGACCCTCTGTGCACGACTCCACCTCGGCTGCATCCCCCAGTTTCTGGGGTGTGTTCAGGGTTGGGGTCACGCAGAGAGGACCTAGATCTACATTTCCAGCAGATAACTGGCTGCCCCGACTTTCGGGCTGGTGCGGGGTTGGGGGTCATCCTAGACCTCGTCCCAGCTTCCTTAAACAGATGGCAAATGACATCTCTCTCGAGCAACACAGGAGGGCAGCAGCGCAGCGCAGGGCACTGGCAGGAGGGCTGTCTCCCAGGGTCCCCTCCGCGGAGACTCCTTGTTAAGCATCACCCCAGGGATGCTCTCCTCCTGCTCTGCAGGGAGGTCAGTCTTCCCTGGGGCTGGGGCTGGGGCTTGGAGACCCGGATGCCTCTTTCCCACCCCTGAATCCGGCCCCCAGACTCCTGGGGGGAAAAGCTTCGTCTTCCTCAGAGCCTCCCGGGCAGCAGGGCGGCAGCGGCCTGAGTCTGGCACTAGGGGGCGCCCCTGCACAGCCGAATCCACCCGGGCGCAGCAGGTTTCTCCTAACCGGGAAGAGCCTAGAGCCTCCGGGGCTGGGGCTGGGGCTGGGGCTGGGGCTGGGGCTGGGGCTGGGGCTGGGGCTGGGGCGCAGCCGGGCGCTGCGCGGAGACCCTAGCCGGAGCCTCGGGCCTCGAAGTCCTCCCCCACGCCCAAAATCGGCTCACTGTCTCGCCCTTTCAGGAGCAGGGTCTCTCCCCAATTGCTGCGATTAGGATCAGCGAGGCGAGGCACTGAGGCGTTTTCTCCGAGAGGGGGTGTGTGCGCGTCCACCACACAAAGGTCTTTTCTCAACCGCACCGCTCCCTTCCCGCTCGCTCCCTGCCCAGCTGCTGGAGCGGGAGCAGCCGCTCTGGGGCGGCCCTAGTGACAATACTGGATGACTGGGGTGGCCTCCGAGAATGACCCCAGGAGGACATGAGGGGGGCACTGGGCCATCACAGGCTCAACAGGACACCGTGTTGCGTCTAGGACTGGGGCTCTATGGACTCCTTTTGTGAACCAGAGGGAAGGCCTCTCCTTCCCCTCCCCGCTCTCCCCACCCCCTGCCCGGGGTTCTCAGGGGAGCGTGCCCAGAATAGTAAACTGGGTTCTCTAGAGTCATAATCTGGGCCTCACCCTGTGCGGTTGTGAGGTGGTTTAGCTTCTCCTCCAGGTAGGTCTTTGGGGGTTCCCTGAAATCATCTTCATGACCAGCTGTGTCCTGATCACCAGGGGCTCACCCCTTGGCCTGACTCGGAGTCTCTGGGAGGGGTCCAGGAATCAACTTTTGGTTTGGTAAGTCCCCAGGTGATTCTGATGGCAAAGCCAGCGTGGGAATGACTGTTCTAAACCTTGTAGGGCAGGCAGTTGTGAAATTTCTCTCCAGAAGAACCTCTGGGGACGGAATTGTCACAGCCCGCCCTCAGTCCACTGTGATGTTGATTCTCCCTGATGATGGAGAAGGTCTCCCTGCGTCTGACTGCTTTAATGAACCGCATTCTTTTCAGCGGTTTTTTTTTTTTTCTCTATGAGATAATGAGCCTGTTTGAAGACAGGCTTGCCTCTTATGAGGGACCTTTTTTAGGAATCCAGCAGACCCACTTGATCGGGCTGAATAGTGAGGAAATCCAACAAAAGCCACCAGCCTGTGATTGAATGTGGTCCCTTCCGGTAGTGGCTAAACAGCCCTTCCAGGGTCTGCAAGATAACCCAGAGGCTCCCCAGTGCTGGAGGCTGGAGCATTCCAGCAAGGGAAAAGGAAAAAACCTGCAGCCAGCCATCCGACGCCTGACAATACCGTCTTCCTCTCTGTTGGCCCTTTTCCTTGCTTTCAGGATGAATGAAAGTTCTTATCTGCTCTGCATCCAGTGTACTTGAACTTGCCTTCCTGATGGCTGCAGCTAGGGTTTCCCAAGCTTTGTGGGGTTATTTTTGCCTCTGGGTGATGGTCATTACTTCCTCCCACAGTATTAGGTTCAACACAGTGACAGAAAAGGAGTAAATTAGCAAACACCCTCTAAATGGCAGGACTGACCCCCAAACCTACTTTCATTTTCTTCCGGCCTGGGTTGTGGGAAATTTCTTGACAACTATGAGAAAGAAGACAGTGAAAAATGAGTTGTTTTTCCAGAGCAATTGTGAACATCTGTATAATTCCCTAGTCCTGGGGATGTTCTAGGAATCCCTCACCATCACCTTAGGAGGGCAGGGGAAAGAGGCAGAGGTGCTGCGGGTGCACTGACATCCTGCACCCACAGGGCTCAGCCTGGTCCTCAGCACAGCCCTGCAGGACAACCCAGGTCACCTTTGCTTGGTCAGGGTTTCTAATTTTGTCAGTGTGAGCAGACTTGCTTCCTCTCTGCAATTGATCTGAAAAGCAAAATCCCATTCTGACAGTCCGAATCACATTTTCAGGCGGTGGGGGTGAAGGCCGCACTAATTGGCCACTTGCCTCACCACTGGCTTTTAAACAATCGCTTGTATTCTCTGCCTGGCAGGAAGCAGCAGGCCCATCAAGGCTCTGGGTTCCTTCTTTGTTCTGACTTTATGGCATTTTATGCCACAATAAGAAACACTGTGTACTCCGTGGGAGCCCATTGTGCCAGGCTGGGAGGATGTGGGCTCTTAGGGAAGGCTGGTGCGCTTCCCCCAGGAGAAGAGGGGTTTTGTGACAGGCTGGGGGACAATATAAGGGGTGCCAGACACTGTTACTGGGGCACCTGGCTGCCCAGAGTGGAGGCAGCTTTGGCCCCTGGAGCGCCTCTCACCCACGGGCCAGGAAGAGGGCAGGAGGAGGATGGAATTTCTCATAGAGGAGCAGTCCCGGTCACCTGGTAAATTATACATTAGGGCTCTGTTAACCCAGCCTCATCCTGCCTGGAGGCTCTGGGCCAGGTGATCGGATCTGTCTGAACCAGCTCTCTCACTTCACCGGAAACGCCATCTTGGTGAATGTGGGCCAAGCGTGGGCGTCCCATATTTTGGGTAGATTTGGCCCTTTAAGGTGAGAGTTTTGGTTTGGTAGAAATGGCATGAATGGGGAAGGCCTACAGGAAGTCCACCCAGCCTCACACATAAATGGATCAGTGGGATTTGAAGACCCCACCTGCCTCCCAGGCCAGCCGCTGTAATCTCCTCCCCTCCCCCCTAGTTTCTGACAGGTGAAAGTCTTCCTGCAGGTGCAGAGTTAACAGGCACACCTGGGGCAGGAGACAAAGGCAGCACTGCAATGATGGGAGGGCCTGGGGCCGCTCTGTCCTTTGCCTGTGCTGACTGGGATTCTCTCCTTTGTTTTAGTAATTTAGTGAATTAGGCCCCTCGGGGCTATAGAGGAGCTGTCCTGGGCAGGAGGCAGAGAAGTCCAGGGTACAGGTACGTTTCACTGGGGGATGGTGAGCATGGTGGAGATAAGACCTATGGCTATGAGGACACCCAGGACAGGGGAGTTTGGGGGAGCCGTCCCTGAATAATGGAGGGCCCTATGTGGGTGCTGAAAGTAAGAGACGACAGGGAAGGCAAGTGAGGCTGGAGGGTCCTGTGTTTTCATGGCGGGCACTTGCGGAGCACAGCAGTCACAGCTTCCTTCAGCCCCCGAGCACCTCCGCTTGTGCCCACCAAGTCCGCCCTTCCCTTCTCTAGTGCTCCCACACTAGCCCCTTGCTCTGCACCGTTGCCACAGCCACCCAGCTGGCTGGGTCCCCCTCCAGCCCACCCTCCTCGTGGCTGCCCCAGTTCTCTCTCAAAAATGCAAACCTCTTGGCCTGCAGAGCCCAGCTAGAAACCCTTGAGTGGCATCTAGAGCTGTAGGCAAACCCTTCACATCACGCTCCCTGCTGAGCCTCTAGGCTCACTTCCCGCCCCATGCAACTCCTTGACTTTCCCAAGAAGGCAAATCTTTTCAGGTCCCTGGACCTTTGCATTTCTTTCTGCATGGAATGGCCTCCGCCTTTCCACCCACCCGTGTCCATCTGCCAGGGTCTCCAAGATTCAGTGCAAACATCACCTCAGCTGGCCAGTGGCCGAGAGCAATGATGGGAGCAGCTTGGCCACCAGGCTCTCAAAGCAGTGGGAAGACTGATGGCAAAGAGGACAACCTACTGGGACTAAAAGTGAGGCCTGTAAATGTTGGCCGGCGTCCCTGAAGACCCGGCCTGGAGAGTCTCTCCTAGAGAAGAGGTGGCGGGGGGCGGGGGGTAGTCGGTGAGAGTGGTGGTTCCCCACATCATCTAACTTTGCTCCATGTTCCTCCAGATCTGGCTTCATCTTCCAGCAGAACACAGGGCCCATTTTGATACTCTTGTTACATGTCTGTTCTCTCTTTAGACTCTGAGTCCCTTAGAGGCAAGGAATGTCTTAATCATATTTGTATTCCTGGAATCTAGTTTAGAACCTGGCACGTAGTAAGCACACAGAATATCTTTAAATAAATATACCTTGAACTTGAGTGTTCCTTTACCTAGAATACCTTTCTTTCTACAGGTTTGTACTATCACTTTCTCTAAAACGTAACTCAAGACTCACCTCCTGGGAGAAGCAGGTTCTGGCTCATTAATGTGTTTGAGCATCAAAAGGTTACTGAGCACTGGGATCGGGTTGGGTGTTTTCCAGGCACTGGAGCACTGGGCAGGGGTGGGGGGTGGGGGTGTCAAAAGAGACAAGGGTTCCATCCCCAAGTCGTCTGTGAGACAGCCCACCACTTTATGTGATAGCCATTTAGCCCTTGTGGAATCAGGCGGTGCTCCTGGCACCCACGGTGTCTGGGGCGTGGTTGGTGCTCAGCCACGACTCACGGCAGCGTGGGAGGAGGAGAAGCCTGGGCTTCGCCTTCAAGTAGCTCATAAGCTCCCCGGGAGACAGTGTTGTTTATGGTACCATTGGAAGCCCCGGGGACCCCAGCCAGGGAAGACCTGGTGGTGTCAATGTCATAGCCTCTGGGCTTTCACTGGGTCCACCAGTTCTCTTGTCCAAGTGTGACTTTTCGGTTATTTTCTGGTTTTATAAAAATGGTGTTTTCTGGTTTTATATATCTTAACTTGACCACAACCTCCTCCAAGAAGAGGACATCAGGGCATTATTTCTGGTAGCCACTCTCCCTGACCCCCTCTCAGCATGTGACATGGGCCAGGGCACGAACAAAAGAGTGCATGAGGGACTAGCGCCATCGGCAGGCACTCGTCCCTGCGCACCTTCGCGAGGCACAGCCGAGAAACCCATGGTGAACAGGTTTTCCAGTTCTGGTAGGTAGCGCCTCTCTTGCTAAATGTTACCCACAGGCTCTGAATATTTTCTAGCAGAAAACACTGAGACTCAGATCCAAACATGGGAATTTGAGGAAAGCCCTTTGCCTTCCTACTTGCACCTGTGCGCCTCGTCACCGGTCACTGGCAGGGGCAATTGCTCGCTGACTGAGCGGGCCAAGCTCTTCCAGCGTCTCTCCAAGTAAATGGGAGCTGCTGTGAGAGAATGGAGCCCGTCCTTTCTGCTTCCTTCTGTCCTGGGTCCCAGCTGGCTCCTGCTGTCCCTACTCCTCCTCTAGGATACTTTTTCCAGAGGGTTCTTCAGAGTCCGTGCTCTGGAGCCTTGGTTCCCACCCGCCGGGCTGTACCGCCTGTTGTTGGCTGTGCTGTCTTGGGGGCTGGCGTTGCCGGCATCAGCCCGCTGATGTTGCCGCCATCTGTAACCTATATTAGCCCTGGGTGCTTTGAAGTTCAATGTGCAATAAAAAGTTCATTAAAAAGATGTGGAATCATGAAAATGAGGTCACAGAAATGTTAACAAAGGATCATTTCCTGCTTCCTGTTCTATTATTTTTTTCTTTTTTGAATGTATTTCTCTGAGGAATTTATGTCACCATTAAACCTACGGAAGAGTTAAAGGAAGGACAGGCCCAGGTCAGAAAGAGGGTGAGATTCCTGAGGAGATAACTTGGCAAAGACCCAGACTGTTTTCTTAATTGAGAGCTTAGGGTCTGAAGGGAGAATTTCAGCCCAAAAAAAAAAAAATGTAGGGACAGACCTAGAATCCCTATGGCCAATGGGCTGAGCCCAGCCTTTTCGTTTGGGATGACTGCAAATGGGCCACAACAGCCTCCAGCCATGTGGGGTCTGCAGCAACAAAAACGACACTTGGAATCGCTGAATTCCAACCTCCGGCCACGGACCACTGTGCCCGCAGGTGCCTCTTGCCTACTTAAGGGTGGGGGGGAGAGGAGGGAGGAGAAATAGAAGAGAAAGAGAGGGGCCTGGGCCAGGATGGCAGCGGATCACTGAGACTGCTTCGTGGCACCCTTTGGTGGCTTATTCGCTGCCAGCCGCACAGGCTTGCTTTCCAGTCATGACCTTCTGATGGGAGCAGAAGTCAAGTTCCCAGCCTCAAGGGATACTCTGGGAACCGGAAACACTAAAAGCGAATCAGCCCCTGGCATGACCTTAAGGTCGGGGAGGGGCTCTGGCCTGCCAGGGCTCTGCCCTGACCGAGCCACAGAGGAGCATTTAACTAAGAGGGAATTCCCGCCGGGCTCAGTTCTGACTTGACAATGACCAACACGGTGCGAGGTAGACCTGCCCACCTCCCACACTTGGGGTGACTCGGCTAAGGCCAGGCTGCAGTACAGGGCAGACCCGGGCTTCTCCCTCCAATCATGAAGCCTCCTGGAGCCAGCGCCCTGGTTTTCCTGTCAAATGAAGGGCAACCACAGATGATCACTCCTGGTGAGTGAGTGCCTTGTCACTTCTCTAATGACAAATGGTGACACCATCAGCACTTTTATTTCTTGGCCTGTAACATAGATGCTAGAGTAATGTACCCTGAGATCCAAAGCCAAATAAACAGCTCTCCCATTTGGGGGGGGGGTCCCTGTTTCTCACAGGCCCTCCATGCTTGGGTAGCGGGCAGGCCTACCCATGATGCAAACCCAGCCCCAGCAGCCTTGCTGGCCTCTGTTTTGGGGACAAATATTCCTAGAGACTCACTCGCCTATGTGATCATTAATGACCATTTAATTGCTACTCATGTTATTAGTATGCAATTATGTGATTATCACTTACTCTTCAGCCAGAGGGCCACTATGCATACACTTAGCAGCCACTATGTCTTAGTCCTAATGATGACAGTGCCATGTCCTACCAAGTGACCGTGAGGATCTCAACAGACTGCACATCTAATAAAACCATGCTGCAAGGTTGGCGGGGGTGGGGGGCTGCTGGATGGTCCAGGTCAGAGCCCAACTTACCCGTGCCCTCGCTGCCCGGCTATAGTTGAGTCTTATGAGTTCTGCAAACCTCTGCTCGTAGAGGTGAAGCAGCAGCACCAGGTACAGGCCTGAGTTCATCAGCTCGTTTTGCACCTAAATTTGGAAAAGAGCACTCTTAAGTTCATCTAGAAGCTATTCATGATTTAAATAGTGGCCAAGAGGTGACAAGAAATGGGACAAGAGTAAGTCCCAAGGCCAGACTGCCCTTGGGGACCAGACAACAGAACAGGAGGCCATCCGGGCGGAGGCCAGACCGCCATCTGGGAGTTATTAACTGCCTTGTGGGGTGTGCCCTGAGTGAGCCCCACACTCCAGGCTGTGTGCGGCACGGGGCAAGCCTTCTCTGATGGTCCTTACGGGATGGGGGGGCTTTGGCGCGTGGTTAGGAAGGGTATGAAGGGCCTTTCAGAGGCACCGAGTGCCAGCAGAGCGTGGCCCAGGCTCCCTGCTCACTGGTGCGGCTGGAGTATGTGGGGAGGGTGTTTGTTTTGGATTTTTGGAAAGTGTTGGCATAGGCTGGGGAGGTGGTGAGGTGGGGCCACATTCATCAGAAGTGAGGCGTTTGGACGTCACGTATGTAGCTGTGGCCTCTGAGCACGGCAGATGTGTGTCTCAGGAAGGCAGACCTTCCTGTGGGAGCGTCTGGGACACAGGGGCCATGGTGGGCAGGGTGCTTTATTTTCCTAGATCCCTCCTTTGCCCAGAGAAAGGGCCCAGGCCTTAGTTCTTTATGTTTCTTCTCTTACAATTGGACTTAATGATGGTTTCGGCTAAGCTCAGCCTCTCTCCCCTTGAGATCCAGGCTGATCTATTACCCTTTAACCCCCAGAGATCCTGTGCCCGGTTGCGTCTCAGGTGGCGCTGTGAACCTCCTTGCTCCTGTTCTTCATTTGGTCCATCGGCGTGTTTTCGTGCCTCCGATTGGAACGCCCCCTCCACCTTTCGGCCAGGCCGTGCCCACGACTTCTTTTACTGCAGTCCCCACATCGCCTTCGTGTGGGAGCCTTCCTCACAATCGTCCCAGTCACCCCTTCCCTTCATGACTCCTAGGCATTTGTTGTTATTTTGTACACTGCATCTTACACTTGTTAACAGTTTTGCCTTTTCTTGGTGGACAGGTTGTGTTTTATTTTTCTCAGGACCTGGCCACCTGGCTGACCATAGCTCCTCTGTCCTCAGCAATTCTGGCGGTTTGTGTTGTGAGGCCTCACCCTGTGGATGCTTCGTTGACCTTCAGTAAATTAGTGGCATTAGCGATGACGCCTCCCCTCTGCCACTTTAATCCCCCACCTGTCCTCCGGCCAAATCCCCAGGGGGCGGGGCCTTGGGAATGAGCCAGACAGGCTTGGGAAACCCCAGCTGAGGGCGTGGCCCTTTGCCTCACCCCTGGGAAAGGTCTGAACTCTGACAGGTTTCCCAGTGTAACTGAAGCTTGGTCTTGACAGTGACCACCTCAGCGCCTTTCCTTCCTCCCGCAGCAGCCAGAGGCACTCCATGGGCCGCCTCCCTGTTCTCTGTCCGTCAAGGGCAGCTCAGGAGGCTGGTGTGGAACACACCTTTTCAGGACAGAACAGCTGCCAGGAAAGGTGCCCAGGTCCAGCGAGGATCGGTGCCTCCTTCCTTCTGAATCAGGGACAGCCCCGGGTCTCGGGGACTGCTGGCCCCAAGGTCACCACTCAAGCCCCCTCCACTGCCCTATACCCGTCTTCAAAGGCTTTCCAACTGGCCTTAGCAGTTAGCCTCCTATTTTTAGACCCTAGTCATGTTTTCTATGTTCTTCTGACCTTGGCCTGGAGCAGGCAGAGAGAAAGTTGTTTGCTTTCACTTTTTTTCTGTTTTAAGTGCCTCCTCCCACCTTCCCCATGAGTGGGTGCCTCCTTTACAGTCTGTCTGGCAAGCCACCTCCTCTGGGAAGCCTTCCTAACCTACCTCTTAGCTCTTCAACACAAGCCTTGTTCTGTGTGGTGGCGGCCCGAGAGCTGCCACACCCTCGCCTGCACTCTCATCGCCAGCAAGCCTTCTGTGCCCAGAGACACTCCGATGCATAATGGCAAATCAATCAGCTAGAAAATGGCTTGGAACTATCAGGTTTGTCGAAGCATTCAGGGAAATCATTTACTTTTTATGACTCAATAAGGCCCGGAGACATGCAGATGGGAAAATATCCACTAATGTTTTCTGCAGATAATTTGAAAAGTCACTTCTAGCAGATTGTGTCTCTTCCCTGGCCCGTGGGAGGGAACCTGTCACACGGTGCCATAAATCTCACTGGCCAGGCTCCTCTGTGTGGCTGGTTGCCGAGCTTGGGATGCTCCAGAAAGGGGCTGGGCCGGCCAATCTGAACAGGCGTTTCATAGCCCGCGGGAGACATCCCTTCTACCTACGCAGAGCTACAAGTGGGAGGGATTGGTTATCAGAGAGATGAGTGAGCCGGAGCTGAGTGAGGTGTTGGAACCTTATTTACTGGGCTACTCCTGACCCAACCCTCCCCTGACCCAATCGCATTGCGCTTTGACCCCCGCCCCCCCGCCGCCTCCGCCAGCGTAGTGTGGGGGATGGATGGGAGGACAGGGGGCGGGGAGACTTGATTGAAAGGGAGAGGCACGTGAAGCAGTGGGCGAGAGCTCGGAAGTGCTCAGCCCTCCTGCCAGATGTTTCTCTTTCTTCTCTCCTGCCCCTCCCCTTTCATTTTGTTAATATTCATTTCGACGAAGAGATTTGCTACCGATGGAAATTCTCCATTTAATCCACTCCAAGAAGCGGGCAGGCTGGCTGCACGTTTTATCAAATGTGTTCAAATATCTTCAAATATGTTCAAGAGATGCTCCCGAGCGTGAGGGTGATTAGGTGACTGCATGTGTCCAAGGACATCCGCCGTGGCTGAGATGGCGCGAGGCCAGGCCTGCGCGTCGGAGCAATGACAGCCAGAGCCCCGCTGAGACCCTGCTGCGCCGCGCGGCCCAGATGGCAGAGCCCGCTCCATCACACCATGAGCCTGGGCCCCGGCCCCGGCATGGCAGCCCAGGGCCGGCGAGCACCACGACTTTGAGCGAAGAGTTTTAACTGTGCACGAACAGAGTGACCCTACATTTACAAAAAGGGGGCAGTCACCGCTGTTCCGCCTGTTTCCTCAAAGCATTATGGGAAAATGAGCTAATACCGGGGGACACGGTATTTTGCAAAACAGAAGTGTCCTGCAAGAGCCGAGAGTGGAGATGGGTTTTGGGGCAAGGACCACACATGCCTTGTTTGCTCCTGCGCTTTGAGTTCCCAGTCCAGTGCCGGCTCAGTAAATACGGGGGCACATGAAAGAATGAGGAAAAACTGTGTAATTCTGGACCAGACAGTGGCCCCCTCAGCCATGACTTTGACTCTGGTGGCTTCGACATTAATGAGCCTCAGAATTACTGAGAGAGCCTCTTCAAACAGAGTTGCTGGGCACCACATCCCCTCGCCCCCAGTTTCTGATTGAGGGGGCCTGGGTGTGGGGCTCAAGAACGAGCATTTCTGACAAGCCCCCAGTGATGCTGCTGGTCTGGCGCCACCATGTCTGAGAACCAAGGATGCTGCTGGAAACCAAGGATCCGCAGTAGGTAGTGAATCAACTTAATCAGGCCTGCAGAGGGGCCCTGGCTGGCAAGGAGGAAGGAAACGAACATCTCCTGTTGGAGAGAGGACTCTCCATTTGGCCACAATTGCCACCACTCCCTATTGATGACACTTGGGAGATTCTGGTCCTCCTGCACCGAGGTTACGGTCCTGTGCTGTCCTCCCCTTTGAAGGCAGAGCCTGTGTTAGTCTTGGCACTGTGGTGCCTCCGGCACAGACAGACAGTAGCCACTCGGTAAGTATTTTAAAAGTTCAACTTTCGTGTTGTGTGTATTTTGCCACACTTTACCAGAAAATTAGTACCTGGCCCCATCCCAGACCAATTAAATCACAATCTCTGAGGCTGGGCCCAGGCATCAGCAATTAAATAACAACAACAACAACAACAACAACAAAAGCATGCAGCTAAGTGTTCAGTTTAATTAGGGGAGGTATTTGTGTGTTTCTGATTTTTATAACTAAAGAAAAGCAAATTTTCTACCTGGGAAAAATACATGAGAAAATAAGTTAGTGCGTTAGCTAGTCACTGAGTTGAGGTCAGGTGAGAGGCGGGCTGAGCCGAGGCCGGTTCTAGGCTTCCTCTGGCTCTGTCCCCGTCTTCGTCCGTGTCTGTGTTTGGCATAGGCTGCCCATCTCAGTAAGGGGCCCTGTTTTCCGGGAGAGAACGGCACTGAGGGCTGGCCTGGGGGAGCCAAGGCGTGGGAGTCACGGAAGGGCCTGGCCCGCCCACGCGAAGGTGGGCCCGTCAACTCCACCGCCAGGCAGAGAGGCCTCCCAACGGGGGACGAGCCCAGGTGGCATCACATCTTCTAAATCTTTGTGTTGCACAGCAGTTGCAACAGCCGTGATCGACGGAGGGTTCCTGAATTCGTCTAAGTCACGCTTCCGCAGTGTCTCCAGTCTAACTCAGACGTTTAGCAAGCAGGCACTGTTAAGCCCACCGCGGGCCATGGGGACAGTCAGAACCGCTGTAAGAGCAACCCCTCAAGTGCTTTCCGTCGTCAGACCAGTACCGCTCGTTAGCTCTCATGGCCGCTGTCTCCCACCAGGGTAGGCCTGTCAATCTCGTCCCTACCTGTGACGATAATGAAGGGTATTTTCAGAAGGCTTTGATGACCTGTCAAGTTCTCCCTGAAACTAATTTCAACTCTTTTCTGCATCCAAGGGATGGACTTACGGTGCTGGGTATTGTCCATTTTCCTCACCAGATCCACGCTCTAGCCTGGTCTGCGGCCTGGAGGCGGATCTCCACAGACTGTGCTGCCTCGGCCCCCTTGTCCCCTGGCCTCCCCTGGGGTTTGGCCCGAGGGAGGACACGGCAGAACAGGTGGTGGGAGGAGAGAGAGGCTGGGCTAATCATTCCCCTTGTTCACTCTCTGCTGGGCTGTGGTGTGGCAGCGGCTGCTCCTCTCTACTGAAGGTCACAGGCTGTGAGTTGACGCTCTCCTGGGGCCTCAGCCGCCCTGATCCTGGCAACCACCCCCGCCCCTTGTCACTTCAGGCCTAGGGTGGTCCCATTGGCAGGTTCAGATGCTTGGTCACTTCTTGTTGATTTCTTTCACTGCCCACATTTTGCCCCTCAGCTCTCATCACTCACCCCTGTGAGTGGGCGTCGTCTCTCTGCTGCCCAGCCTCTGGCTAACACAGTCCCTTCCACAGTCCTTTGTAGAATGTGCGTGTAGCCGGCATCTCAGCTGGTAGGATGCAGTGAGGCCAAGGATGCAGGTGTGACCCCGCATCCAGTTGGCTTGGTTCGGGGTGGGCTCTAGTCTGGCCCTGCTGCACTTAGCTTTCTCCCCAGCGTGCCCAAGGTGCTGGGCGTCTCTGTGGCTGCCAGACGGCAGTTCTCATTTACCGAGAGGCTGCTCTCTCTGCACGGGTGCTGCGTTAGGTTACGTGCTGAGGTCTTTCCCCATGTCCAACCCTGCGAGGCGGGAATTGTCACCTCCCACTAACTAGAGGTGAGAGGACTGAGATCAGTTTCCCCAAGGTCACACAGAAACTTTGGGGAAGGCAATAGGACTTAGGTTCACGTCTTGGTCAAAGCTGTTGTGTTTTTCGGGGTGGGGGGGCTGCCTCTGGTTTCATGAGTGCAAACGTTTTAGTATGACAGGAAACATTTGCTGTTCGAGAGTCGATTCTACAGACACCACTGGAAAACCAGCAGTGTGCGGTGGCAGGGCAGCAGCTTGGCAGAGGGAGGCGATGTGGAAATGCTTGGGCCGGGCGGCGTGTTTGCTGGACGAGGCGTTCCCCTGGGCTGCACCATGTCTGTGATGTCTGCGGACCATCCTGGCAGTACTCCGGGTAACCCAGCCTCGTCTGGACACGTCCTCCCCAGGAAGCCCAACAGGCTCCGTTTCCTGAAATAATCTGTTCTTCGAGATGACCACATGGAAGCTTGTCCACACCCCGGCTGGCACCCTGACCTCAGGCATTCGGGGGGCCTGGTTTCTTTCAGAATTTTGACTCCAGCCTCCTCAGGGTCCAAGAATGTGATTTGCTTCTGTTTCTCATCTCAGACCTCAGTGCCTGGGGGTTGTGACGGAATGATTCAAGACCCTCAAAATGTGTGGATGGACTCAAAATCCTGAGTTTGTTTCTCAGGAAATTCTTTCTTTTTTGCCTCCCTTCCTCCCTCCCTCCCTTCCTCTTCCTGATGCCCATTCTCTGCAGTGTGACATTATGTCCATTGAATCAAACTTATTAGTTGCACTGTTCAAATTCCTATTCTTATTGGTATTTCGCTCTTTTGTGCAGTGGCCTCAGGATTTTAAAGAGGTAACTACAGCATTACCCAGACTCACATGCGCCACTCTGACTCAGCTGTGCTGCTTCCAAAAAAGGTCTGGATACAGGCTGATGATCCGACAGCCAGAGTGACTCCTCTGAAGGGGGACATTTTAGTCGTCAACAATGATTTTACAGCTTTAAAATGATGTGCTTTGCAGTCGTGATTATTAATCTTTCTTTTCTAATCACAGTGCGAGGGAGGTCAGCCTTAAATTATAATAGTAATGTGGGCTATTTTCATTCGATAAATATTTATTGATGCTTATCATGTGCAAAGCCCCTCTAGATCAGCACCAGCCGACCGGAACACGGTGTGAGCCACAGGGGCAAGCCATGCGGGTAACCTGAAAATCCCAAGCAGCCACATTAAAACAGAAAAAGAAATACTGGTAAAATTAATTTTAACAATGTATTTTATTTAACTCCAATATATCCCAAATGCTATAATTTCAACATATAATTCATAGAAATGTATTTGTGATACTTTGCTCTCCTTTGTTTTTCCTGAGTCCGAAGTTCAGTGTGTATTTAACACGTCTCTGTTGGAAGTAGCTGCCGGTTCCTTAGCCACATGTGGCTCGCGGCTTCCATATCATGCAGTGCAGCTCGGTGTTTGCCTGAGAACTGGGTAATTAACTGTTATCCTGGGCAGAAATCACCTTCCCTCCTAAGGTTAACTAACCCCTTCACTGTATGACAATTGCAATCCAAATGCCCCAGAAGGGTTAATTCACTAGGTGTTAAAAAGTACCCAGTAGGTGCTTACTACATGTTTATTACCCTTGAGTTAAGCCCTATTAGCGCAGAGTTATTTGATATATATATACACATATATACAGAGAGAGGACCATTTCCTCTAAGACCCTAATCTTTTTATTTTCCTCTCCTTTTGCTGTTAAACCTAAATTACTTCGGCAAATTTGGGTTCAGAGCTTGCCCAACTTTTCCTATTTCGGTATTATCTAGTCAGTTGCTGCAGCTTCCTTTGTTCCCGACAGCAGTGGGACCTCAAGTCAGGGTGATTCAGGGTGATCCAGGCTTTCCAAGCCTCCAATGGTCCAATTTATTGCAGTAACAGACCTCCTCAAAGAAGTGAGCTAAATGAACTCCCTGCTTCTCACCGTGCACAGGCCTTTTGTATTCTGTATACTGGGGAGAGAGTTCCTTCTCACCTTGCACCTGTCGCCGAATTAGCCTGCGGAGGCAGAGCGGGTGAGTGTGTCTCTTACCCGGGATTGCTGGTGCTTCCGGTAGAACTCGGTCAGGTTAAAATCATCCAGGTCGACCAGGAGGCCTTGCTTACACATCTCACAGGTCTTCACAGCACCCAGATCCGCTCCTTAAATTAAAGAATTCTTTGTTACGTATGACCCTGGGTCTTTCTGTGTTGACACTTTGGGTCTTTTGGTGTTGACATTTTGAGTGCCAGCTTGTGTGTGTTATGAATTCGGAGTCTCAGTGACCTTTTTAAAGTCAGCCATCTTCCATGGAAAATGACCTTGAATCTGGGATTGGAAAAATTTCCTTTGTAATCAGTTTCATTATTATACAAGCTCCATATAAGTGCAAGTCCCATGATTTTTAAATAACAGGTCTTGCTTTCAGTTTCCATATAAACATACTGGTTCATAAAATCGGATTTGCTCCACGGAGGGTGAGCGCCTGTAACGCAGGTGTTGGCAAAAAGAGTAAATATTGGGCCTGTGTTTTTGCTGTTTTTTTTTTTTCCTTGCAGACCTAACATAGGTCCAAGGAAATAAATTAGTGAGTACCAAATGGATGGCAGAAGCTATCCTCAATCTGTGCCTTAAACTCTGCCTTTACTCCCACGCAGGCGACTTCCCACCTGAGAAAATGAGGGGGCCGGGGCCACGGGTGGGAACCAGCACAGCAGTACGTGGGGCCAGCACTTGGCCCTGGCTCAGCCACATTCGGGAAAAGAAACACGAGAAGGCTTCCTTTTTTTGTGTTGTGTTGTTTTTAGAAAACGTGCTCTCTAGATCAGCATTTTTGCTCCGCTTGTCCCACTCCCAGCGCCAAAGTGGAGGAGGCAGACCTGTGGCCGTTCTGTCTGGGCAAACGTTCTGCCGTGCATTTCTCCCCCAGGGTGGCGGCTGCATTTTGGCTAGTGATGTGCCAGCATTCGTTTTGTGCATTAGAGAATACAGGGCAAATTAGTTCTCTGCACTTGGGTGGTAAGGATGGGGTTTGTGCTGTTCTAGAGCTCGTCCCCGCGGGGAATATAGAGAAATAGCAATAGAGAATTTCAAAGGACAGGGATGAACAGTAACCCCTTATCTGCATTTTGTTGCCTTGGTTTTTTTTTTTAAAGCATCAGTCTGTGATGCTGTAGGCTACTGATGTCCTGTGTATCTTACAGTCTAATCCTGCTCAACACACCCTCCCAGTGTCATCGCCTATTTCATGAGTAATTTTTTTCTGTGCTAGATATTTAATTGGTCTAAATTTCTGGTAGGAGAAAACGCTGCATGGCAGAGTCATTAGCAGCTGAAACCTGCTTGTTTCTTTGCTCCCTGAAGGACCGAGGCCCCTGCCTACTCTGCAAAGATCAGTTAGGCAGCGTGGGCAGTGGTTTTTGATTGCGCATGTGTGATCATCCCACGTTTGTTTCTCTGATCAAATGGCGTTCGGTTCTTGTTGAGGGGGCACAGCCATACCCCATGGGCACAGGGGACCTTTTAGGTCTCTAAAGGCTGTCCGGGAGGATGGTCACCAAGGAAGAGAAAGTGGAAGTGAGAGGAATAGAATCTGGCTAGCGGGTAAAAAGTTTTGGACAGGTGTGTCTGAAAGACATGGAAGCTATTTTCTAATTGAGTTGGTCTTTGTATTGGTTTTCTACAGCTTTTTGTGCAAGTGGCTCTCATTCCTGAAACCATGTTTTAAAGAAACCTTCCATTCTCTGTCAGGAAAGCTACAGCTGACCTACTAATGTGGCTGTATTTCGATTATAACCTCCCCAGGGATCTGGGGCATCATATCCAGTTGCAAGATCTGCTAAAGACAGAGTTGACAAAACTAGCACGTGGACATCACTTTGTTTAATATGGTTCTAGAAAATTTGACCAGTATTCTTTTTCTGCCCTTACTGCAAAAAGCCAGCTTTGCTCAGATTCTTCGGTGACCACTCCCTCCCCTCATGAAGAAAAGGAAGCAGAACTGTTCTGGTCAGGTGTGTACTAGCTGGCCTGGTGGCCGTGCGCTTGCTGAGGTTCCACTGCTGACCTTCTGGGAGGCAATCTTAGCAACTTTGCTAAGGCCTCAGGCAGGGGTCAAGTTCAATAGCATATGGTGCAGGATTCTTCTGTCAGCCTTGAAAAGAATCTCATTCCCCTCCCGTGCTTTAGAGGCAGCAGGCCGCCCCACTGCTCTCCACCGGGGCTGTGAGCAGCAGTGCTGGGGTGGTGGCCAACACTCCCCTTAGCTCCTGCTCCATGGAGGTGAGGGAGCTGCTGTCACGGCTCTGAGTCCCACATGGTGGGGCCTCCTATTAATTCCATGTCCTCGCACGTTTGCTGCTCGCTCTTCCTTCCCCACCTACCTGATGTTATTTTCACTTTCAGCCACCTTTTCAGGCACTCTTGATGAACAAATTGCAGGCTTCCCACGCAGCTGCAAGGCTCCAGGAGGGGGTTGGTTGGGGAACCCCCCGTCATCTGACAAATGCGACACAAGTCTCCCTCCTCCTCAGAGTCCTCCTCCAGGAGACTAAACGGAAAACAAGCCCTTATGACCAGGAGTCCACACATTTGCAGTTTCCACAAATACCAGTTCCCAGGGCATGGACGGGGGAAGGGAGAGGGAGCAGTCCCCCCACTCCTGGCCACAGGGCTCCAGGTCCCCCACTGTTCCCTCTGGTCCTGCTGAAGATTCTTATGTCAGGAACCCCTGCGGGAATGGATACAGGTGAGCTGGCCAGGAGAACCATCATGCTATCATACGTCTGGAGGTGTGGGGCAGGGCTGCTGAGGGGAGCTGCGGAGAAGGCAGGGAGCCCCTCTCCCTGCCATGGCCACTGTGAGGAAGTTGGCTGTGTGGTTGTGGTGAGGGCGTGGTGTCGGTGGTCAGGGGGCCTGGGTTTGAGGCTTGCCTCGACCGCTTGTGAGTTTGGTGACTTTAGACATGGGACTTAAGATTCCCATTTATCTGCTTTATTGTTGGTAAAGCCAGGGTGATCATGAGACTCCGACTGCCTGCATCATGGGTCATGGGCAGACTGGACAAGGATGATGGTGAACCTGTTCTGCAAACTGAAGAGCATCCAGTGTCTGGCAAAGTGTTTGCACAAAGCGGCCACTCAGTAGATATTGGTTGGGATGAATGATGAACCAATAAACCCGGACGCAAGCTCATCAATAACATGACACTTGCCAACAATTTTTGCCAGTGTTCCAGAATTGGATGGAGACGGAATGAGTGAAAATGTAAGCAAATACGTTTGTGTCTAATTGTGAATGAAGAATAGCTGGATGATGCTCGTGTAGGGAAGTCTTTGAAGAGCCTGAGGCTATTTTTTTGTTTGTTTTTGTTCTTTAGCATTTTCATGGGCCTGGGGACTGTCTGGTTGAGGAAAGGAAACTACTGGAGACTGAAATCAAAGGGGAGGAAGAAATGGACAGAGCTCTGTGTTGCTCTGGATGTAGAAGTGTATGCTCAGTTTAAGAGACCTTCTGTAGGAAGGGGAAGTTCAATGAAAAAGAACAGAATTATAGTTTTCCATTATGGATGCAAAGGAAAGGAGAGATATGCCATGTTTATCAAAGAAAGACTCAGTATCTCCAAGATGTCTCCCCAGAATAATCCACAGATGCAATGCAATTCCAGTGAAAAACCTACAAGCTGATTCTTAAAGGTAGTCAAGGGCTTTTAAAGAACAAAGCGAAGAGGGAGGCTGTGTACCATCAGTTATCAAAACCTAAAAGGCTGCAGACATCAAGACAATGTGGTATTGGGTTGGGGAAAAACAGAAATGGACCAATAGGACAGGACAGGCAGCCCTGAAACAGAGTCACACACTCACATGCCCGCACCTGGACAGAGGTGGTCTGTTGGTTGGCTGGGGAAGATCCTGGGACAGCTGGTGCCTGTGACATTCACCTCACACCACAGATGGAATGTCACTTCACAGTTAAGTCCCAAATTTGCTTCATGGTAAGTCCTCAGTGTGCAAGGTAAAACTGTAGTAATTTTAGAAGAAAATAGGAAGAGTAATGACCCCACATTTGGGAAGGATTTCTTAATCAAGACAACAGGATACAAAAGAAGATGGATACCTTTGACTACATTCAAATTAAGAATTTATTTTCATTAAAAGACATCAAGACAGAAAAGACAGATTACAAATTGCAAAAAGATACTTCTAAGATGTACCTGCCAAAGGATTAGGCTAGTAAGCAGAATAAAGAACTTCTAAAATAAAAGTATTCTAAAAGAAAAATAGACAAAGACATGAATGTGCATTTTACATAAGAGGGAACGCAAATGGTCATGTAACATTCCAAAGAGCACATAAAATACCTAACATCATTGACAGTCATGAAAATGTAAATTGAAGCTACAATATCATTTTAATTCCATTAAACTGGTGAAAATTTGAAAAGCCAATCAATACAAGTGCTGGCAGGGACTGACAATAGCATACATTACTGGTGAGACAGTAAATTGACATTAGTTAGTATGGTGGAAGGTGTGTTACAAGCTCGCTCAGCAGTGCCACTCCTAGAAAAATAACACCTCAGAGGACTCTTCCGTGTGCACCAGGAGATGTTTATGAGAATGTTTACACAGAGCTGTTTGCAGAAAACAGCAAAGAACCCAAGTGTCTCAAGAACGGCTGGATTGTGGTTTATTCATACAACAGAACACTCTGTAACAGTGAAAATGAATGATTTAAAGCCAAACATATCAACAAGGATGCATCTCACCAGTGATGTAAGGGGATCAAGTAAGTCATAGAAGGATAGATATCACATTTCACAGAATAGATATTCAAAAATAGTGACATTTCTACAGAATTCAAAATTATGCACAACATGTTTAAGAGTACATACATTCATATAGTAAAACCACAAGGCAAAAAACCCCCACTTCTGATAACAAAATAAAAAGCAAAGAATGATGAGTGCAATGCGTGAATGGTTTCCTGGGGGGGAGGTGGGAGGGGCAGAGGGAGGAGGTGCGGAAGGGTTGGGGAGGGCTCGCCAGCTCCAGCCATGTTCTGTTAGCTGCAAGGTGGACACAGGGGTGTCTGGGTTTGGTTTGGTTTCTAATTCTCTGGAAGGTGCACGTGTTATATGCTTATTTGTATGTATTAAAGTAACTAACCAAGGGGAAAATTTTAAAGAGTGTTAAGTGGCATTGAGAAATGGGCTTGAAATATTAAAGTAAGACATTATAAAATATGAACCAATGTTTACTCAAAATTGCATTTATATGCATAGATAAAAGACTGGAAACAGTTTTAACAGTGCTTATCTCTGGATTATAGGGTTACAGGTAATTTTTCTTTTAGGTTTATATTTAAATATTTCCTATAATGGATATTTTTGAAATGAGAAAAGCATAAGATCTATTACAGACAGGAAAAAAGAGTGTCTGATAAGCAAAGTACACAAATAATAGCTGTTCAATGCAGTACTGTCCCTAGAAGTAGGTGCGTTTTCAAAAGGAATCATTTTTAGCCCAAAGGCATCACTTGGGGCAGTGGAAGTTCAGACTTCTGACGAGCTGTGTGTTAGGGTGGGGGAGGCTGGGTGGGTGTGAGGCCTTTTGGAGCTCATCCATGGGCTGGCCTTCTGGTAGCTCGTTCAACGTGGGGAAAAAAAGGTGCCACTAACTAGAAACTTGCTTCGCTCCTGCGGTTGGATGAAAGACACAGGAGTATGTATGCATCGTACGTTCTATTTTTTCCTTTCCTTTTGCATGTCTAGTTCATTGCCATGGAACTTTCCCACTTACAAGTAAATATCAACAGGATAATTCATGGTCCGAATGAACCACACATACAGGGCTGGAATTCAAAGAATCAGTTTCTGGATCTGTGAGCCAAGATAAAGGCATGGTAACACCTGTCATAAGTGAAATGATAGCATCCTGACATGGTGCTTACTGAGAGCTTTAAAAGTTTTAGATCTGACAGTTGTAAAATATCCCAACATCAGCTCACAAGAAAGGAATAATCAAAGAAAAGGGTCATTAAGGACAGATCTATTTGTCTCTCATGCACGAGAAAGAGCACCTAAAATGGAACAGGGGTCACCCCAGAGCAGCCCTTCAGAGAACTGGGTAACTATGGCAGCCATTGGGGACCAGCCTTTTACTTTGGAAGATTCAAATTCTAGAAGTGTTGGTTGGATTTGTGCAAAGTCCCATGAGGGAGAACTGGTGAACTTCAAGTGCTGAATGGCTCCTTCTTTGGGGGAGACAGCAACCTTTTCGTAAAAAGTCTTGGTTCCTAATTGCCTGTGGAGCAGTCATAAACCCTTATGTCTAGCAATCTTGCCTTTCTTAAAGTTATGGTATTCAAGGGACAAAACACTTCGGGACTACTGAAGATACTGAACTGGAACACCAAACTTTTCTTCATAGATGCATGTATTTTAAAAGCAACAAAATAGACAGTGCTCTCCATATAAGTAGCCATGATAATGTCAAGGAAGGGCCTACCTATTATTAAAAATTCCCTCTAATAGCCCTGGGTGATGTGGCTCTGTGGATAGAGTGCTGGCCTGCAAACCGAAAGGCCACAGGTTCAATTCCCAGTCAGGACACAGGCCTGGGTTGTGGGCTGATGTTTCTCCCCCTCTCTTTCTCCCTGCCTTCCACTCTCTCTAAAAATAAATAAACAAAACATTAAAATAAAATAAAATTCCCTCTAATAAAAGCACTGCTTATTTCAGCATTGAAAAAATGGAATAAAAATATATGTATTTACATATAATCAGAAAAATTTCTCACCTTTCTTGAAATTTCTTGAGTTTTTCGGGGTCAGCCTTTATTTTAGTGGCTGCCTTTTCGTCTGTGAAACCAGAGACCACCATTCTGTTCCCACTGCCATTCTGATGTGGGAAATCAGATGCTGCGAAGAAAGTGAGAGGTATGTTTTCTTGCAGGGACCCATGCACGTACAAGTGGCCCTGTAAGTTCGTCCCTGATGCAGAGGAGCTGGTAGTCTCCACCAATGACAAGCTTCTTTGAGGATTTAGTAAGAAATCTTCTGTGTACAATGGAGCCCCCTGAGATTGGCTTGCTGAAGCACTAGCTTCTGCTCCCCTGACATCAAATTCACGTGCACCGTTTGCTGGAAAATAACTGTGGTTTTCAGGACTGGCAGATGGCTTCCTATTTCTAATGGGGGACAGTGGTCGGCGAGCATTAAGCCTTGAGGTTCCCTCTGAGTTTGAACTGTGAACTGAAGGGGCTGTCATCGACAAGTCTACTGGAACGTCATCTGTCAGGGCAGAGTGCGTTAACGATCCCGGGGTGTTATAAGATGAATTCATTGGTGATCTAGGTCTACCAGAAGGAAAGTAATCAAGAGGAGTGCTGGAGTTATTTAAATAGGTTTGCCATTCTCTCTCGTAATTATGGGTGCCTGGCCTGTCTTCCACAGAAGCGCAATCACTAAATGCATCTTTAGCACTGAGACCATCTTCTAGATTAGGGTTGAGTTTGGTGTCCTGTGAATGAAAGGTCTTGTCCTCGATTTCACTGTCACCACTGTCGTTCTCTGTGGCAGACCCCCCATTAGGCAGCCTGGGGTCTTGGGACATCCTTTGCCCGACGGGAGCCTGCTCTCTCACTGGCTCCATTACATTGCTTATTCTTAGTGAGCCATGATTGCACTTACTTTTTCTTACAGAATTAGCCCTGCAACTTTCAGGATTTTCTTCAAAATTTTTGTTTTTGGCCAGTAGGGCTGATGTGCCGAGAAACTGACTTCTCTTGCGACGGGAAGGAGAATGGGGTTCACACATACTGGCCAACAAACGCTCTTCCTCCTCGTGGGTTTCCTCCTCAGTGTCATCACTTTCTCCTCCACAGCTCAATGACAAGATGGAATAAAAATCTTCATCCCTGAACCTAAATGGCGCCCATCTCGACTCTCCCGTGGTGGTGGTGAAGGGTGGCGGCCCTGAGGACTCACTCGACACCCGCGGCCTGTTTGTTCCTGGGAAGGCCTGGGCTGGGGCCGGCTGGGGCTCCTTCTGGGAAAGAGCACGCTGGTCTCCTTTCCGGGCTCTCTCAGGGGTGTTCTTGGTCACGGTCATTGGCCGTGAGGGTGGGACCAAGTTCCTTCTCTCTCGCATTGGCCTCTTCGGTTTAGCGTTGCTTGTCCACATCGCACCTTCTCGTTGAACTGGATCTGCATTGAGAAAAGACAAGTTTATCATTCTACATAGGCGCCCACGGATGGAAGACCTCTAACACCAAGGGTGAGAGCCCCTTAAGGCAGCAGACAAGACTTAGAGGGGAAAATACATGGGGTCAGAATGGCTGGGGGGCACAAGACTTCTGGCCACCAGCCCTGGCTTCATTTTACTGCTTCAGAGTTCTCCTCTGCATGTTGGTGGAGCTCAGGCTGGCTTCTGGGGAAATGGGCTGACCTTGAGGCTACTGATCTTTTCTGCAGAAGCTTCGGGCAGACTGTCCAGCCCCCGGTCAGTCAGGGCTGGTGGTAAATCTCTCACGTGGTGGCTCTTGTTCCAGCATTTGATGGAGAGGAAAGCCAGCCTGAGCCCAGGAATGACTTCTGCAAAGGCCTCAGTACTTTGTCACCCAAATTCATTCAGCATGCATCTGCAACCCTCCTGCTCCACACACAGCTTTACAAACATCTTAAGGAAACTACAGTCTGCCTTGGCAGATCAGGAGGAAGATTCTAGAAGCTGGTGCCCAAGTAAACAGATGATCTGTGATTACATTTACGACTTAGTGCAGATAAAAATCATAGTGCTCTCATGATGTCATTATGTCCTCTTTGTCACTAGCCCCTAGCCAGTTTGTGACCTCTGGCTATAGTACAGTCCCACCCTGCTGTGCCCCGAATCTCAAGTGTGAGGAGATGTAGAGAGAGGAGAGGCAGGGAGAGCCCGTGTGGGAAGCAACTTCTACTGGTAAAATCATTTGGTTAAAACTTGCCTAATAAAAATAATGACTGAGCCTTTTATTGAGGGCTTAACCTGAACGGGTCAGGCACCACGCCGTCACCTGTCCACATCGAGGCTCCCAGCGCTGTGAAACAGGCACTGCAATCACACCACATTGTAACTGAGGGCACCAAGGCCTGGGGAGGTTATGTAACCTTCCCAAGATCATATTTCTAGCAAGTGATGGAGTGAACATTTGAACTCAAGCCTGCCTGAGACACGGTTTGTGTTCTTAACCACTACTGTGCGTTATGCTTCAGAAACTGGCTGGACTTCTGGTGAAAATGAGAATCCGTTTAATTCATTGTTGCCTGCGTGCGTCATGAAGGTTCGGTTACCATCCCAATGTGCAGAGGACACTGAAAGGACTTGTCTGATCCCACTTACCTTTGTTCCCCCCGGCTCCGGCCTCCCCACTCAGCTCCCCCACAGGATCTGACGAGGCCCCGTTATCCGTGTCATTCAGTTTCTAAAGCGGCTCACGGCGCGCAGTGCAGAGTGGACAGGGCTCCGCAGGCTCAGGAAGGCTGTGTGATAACAGCTTGGGCAGGTGAGAGGCAAATACTCCGAGCACGTCTGGCTCAGCCGAGAGCCAGGTCAATACTGACTCACTGTAATTGAGGGCTCCCGGGGGAGTGCCAGTGCGGTCCCAACGTCCTGATGCTCCATAAGCCTCTTTTACTGTGAGCTGCAGGGGACACTCAGCAACGCAGTGCAAATCTTTACTCATCGGCTCTTCTAGAAATAATTTGCACTGTGTGCCAGGCCCCTCACGGGCTTTGCAAACCCTATCAGAGACACACCAGCAATGCCAGGACACCCTGAGCACCTGGCTGTGACCTGCCGTGCCCACTGGAGCCTGGCTGAGTGCGGGAACCCGGATCTGCTGGTCGCTCCCTGAACACACGGACCCTGTTGGATGGTGGGAGCTGCCCACTCCTCCCAGAGCCAATTTCGTTCAGGCTTTGGGAGACACCTAATGGGCAAAAGAGTCAGCTAGAGCAGCTTCTGAGAAATGGAAACTGGGAACTCCACAGGAACCATCAGCTTATTTCACAGAAGCCACCGAGCTGTCACCTGGTGACACCGGCCTCTGGGGCAGGAGTCACAGGCTAAGTGCTGCACTGCAGCTCCTGCGGCTACGAAACAGCCCAGGAAACGCATCTCCACCCTTCCTTGTTACCGTGCTGCCTTCCTCTTTAAAAATTCCGTCAGCGCCTCGCTGGTGCGCGTGTGTGTGTTTCCCCTTAAGGTGGCAGACTGTGCCATTCTATATTTATGCTATTTTAACCCTATTTCGTGTGTCTATCAAATAGGGAGCAGATTTCCTAGCTCTAGGCCTGGGAATAAACACCCGGTTTGGTATGCCAGGGCTGTGCTATTCATAGAGCAGCCCCACAGACGCGACCGGGGCCTCTCTGAGGCCCCGCATGGGCTCCAGCTGTGCACGGAGTGCCTGCCACTCCAGGAGTTCAACTCGGAGCGACTGAACGTTCTAGGTGCCGCGGGAGGAGGCCAGGAGAAGCATCCGTCTCCCCTGAGGCTGTGTCAGTGGTCTAGACCTCTTTAGGTGCTTGGCAAGTAGTTTCCTACATTCTGATGTCATATAATTTTGTCTCCTCTGGTTATAAAAGCAATCAATAATCATTGTAGAACATTTGGAAAACACAGAAGAGGATGAAGGAGGAGTGAAAACCACCCAAAACCCAAAACTCAGATGACCATTGAGTTTTGGAGCTCAGGGGTGGATTGCAAACTCAAGATCCCTGGGCTGTTTTCACCTGGCAGCTGTGCTTCAGCTCAGATTTGAACACAGAGTTAATGCCTTAAGGTGGAGTGAGTGTGTACTGGCCTACCCTGGGCTCTGCAGCCCTTTTTGAGGGTTTCTCCTGCCGTACCCACCTCTTCCTTGGCGGCACTGGGGGCTCTCTCAGCTAGAAATATTGCTTTTAAAAACACAGTTGGGCCCTGGCTGGCATAGCTCAGTGGATTGAGCGCCGGCTGTGAACCAAAGTGTCGCAGGTTCGATTCCCAGTCAGGGTACATGCCTGGGTTGCAGGCCATGACCCCCAGCAACCGCACATTGATGTTTCTCTCTCTCTCTCTATCTCCCTCCCTTCCCTCTCTAAAAATAAATAAATAAAGTCTTTAAAAAAAGAGACAAAATCAAATTTAAAAAATTAAAAAAAAATTTAAAAAACACAGTTAAGATATTGGGGTATATACAACTTTATGTTCTGCTTTCTTTCTCTAAAACTTTGTGAGCAATAGCTCTTGCCATGATTTATTAAGAACATGATATTAATCACAGTATAAGGCTACCTTATAGAAATGTATTATAACTTGTTTAACTCTTTCCCTATCATTGGGTATTTAGATCGCTTCGAGGTTTTTGCTGCTACAAATTACATTATGATGAAAGTTCGCTTATACATCTTTGACTGCCTGTCGAATTTTCTTAGAACAGGATCAGAGGAAAGTGGAATGGCAAGGTCAAAAGGTACAAACTTTCTGAAGACCTTTGACACGTTGCCCAGTCCCAGTTTGCACCCAGTTACCCCACAGGGAGGTGTTTCGGGGCGTGGCCTAGCCTCCAGCCCAGCAGTGCCCAGGGAATGTGAGTTAGTGGTTTCACTCCCAGTACTGAGTATTATTTTAAACCACTCCCAGTACTGAGTATTATTTTAAAAACCTCAGCCAATCTGGTAGGCCAAACTGTCCTCATGTAAATTTACATTTATTATTCAGTGAGGTTGAATCCCCCCACCCAAATATTTATTAGCTACCTGTATTTCTTCTGTGAAATTGTCTGCTATGGCTCTTCCCCATTGTTCTATTAGGTGTTCATGTTTTTCGTATTGATTTGCAAGAGTTTTCTATGTATTACCTTTCTGTCACATTTGCCTCAAAACTCGGATACAATTCAAAGATCTGGCTCCCGCTCCAAATTATGCAAACCACTGTACAATGTGAGGAGAAGCACTAAAGGAGATCAGTAAGGAAATAATTAGGGGAAGAGAAGGAGCCCTGGATGTAACAGAAAAGTGGGACAAATTCTCAACGGATCTCTCAGGATGACGGAAGGTGTGTTCTCCGTGCAGGTGGAGGGTTGTCTGAGCCTCGTGTGCCCAGGAACGTTTTGTGCACAGGGAACCTCACCTTCGAAATAATATTTGAGAGTTCACGGAGGGCCGCTGGGGAAGAGGCAGGAGAGAAACTAACAGTGGTTCACTGCCCACTGTAGTCAGGTGCTGGTCAGCATATGATTTCCTTCAGTTATTAGAGCAGTGCGATGAGATAGGTTTTATGACCCTTATTTTAAGACAAGGGAACAGTAGCCCAGAGTGGCTATTTGCCCCCCCCTCCCCCCCCTCCCCCCCGTTCCACCTCTAGGAGGACGAAGAGCTGGATTAGAGGTGAGGTCTGCCCTTCCGGACAGGAGGCATTAGATCCCGGGGTCCTGAGGACATCTAGTCACTACAGGTTCACGTGTGCTCCAACTGCACCTAATTCCAAGCCACCCAGATGTTGCCCTGTTCTGTATTTCTGTGTCCACTGCAGTATATGTCGTATTTTAAAATACAGGCTACTGTTACCATGTTCAGTGGGTGGCGGGCAAGTGGGATGGATGCTCAGTGGTCTCCCCGAGGGAAGGACAGGTCCACAGCAAGGCTGGCTGTCGCCTGTGGCTTTCCCTGAGTCCCAAGGGAGGCTCCTTAGGGCCTGTCCTTCCACCACCACAGGCGAGGGCAACGAGGTTCGCAGAGCAGCATGGCTTGGGCCTTAGGAGGAATGCTCAGGATTGAAAGAGGTGGTGTCTACCACACCAGCATTTTAGAGTAAAGCGTATATTCATTCTGATGTTTCTCACACATTAAGATCTTGACACCTGGGTCAGAGGGGAGACCATCTCTGTGGGTGGCAAGTAGTCCGACTTGCACAGACACTCCTGGGAGGTGGGTGGGAGCTGCAGACCGCCTCCCCACCCCCACTCCCATCCAAGCCCCAGCCCCAGCCCCCCAGCCCCTAGATGCCTTCTCTGGAAGCCTAACAGCAGGCATCCACTCAAAACCATGCACAACCATGTATAAGCAGTAATGACAGAGAGAAAGAAAAAAACTTCCCCCTGCCTGCCTTTCCCCACCAACCTCCCCTGGAGAAGGGAACCGGAGTCAATGGTTTGCTTATTAAACCTGGGTTTCCCTTCACAAGTGTGTGCAAACCCTGTGGAATTCATCAGGTAAGAGCGCAAGTCACTTCTCTCCGGGGATCAGGACGCATGGGCGCATGGGCTAGGGGGTTTTACCTGCTCCCCGGAGGGCCGGCGCCTTCACGGGCAGCTGTGACTTCTGTCTGCTTCTGTCCCCAGGCGCTCCCGGGCTCTGCAGGTCTGGGCTGACCGTCAGTCTCCCCAGGTTTGGCCTCCTCTTCTTGGATAAAATCTGGGGTGACTGGGCTGCTGAGAGGTGCAAATGAATTTTCAATAATGTATTTTCTACAGACAAACCTGCCCCGTATAAAGAATGCTCATAAGGCCGGCAGGAGGGAAGGCAGCCCAGGGAACGGAGCCAGGAGTTCAGAGAAGAGTCGGATTTGAAGCCTGGGAACCCCGCCCGGTAGCCACGTGGGCGTGGGCAACTCACTTCACTTCTTAAAGCCTCACTTTCTCCACCTGTCCCATGGATTTAATACCCGCTTCCTACAGCTGTTGCCACCGTGAATGAGCACCTGGGACACCTGCAGTGCCTTTTCTTTTGCTAAGAAGGTTCTAGCTGCCAATTCATTGGTGCTGGGATGGGCCTGTAGGTCAGTCACACTGTGAAGAGCCTTCTGCAGTCGGGACACACGGAGGCCCCGCTCCTTCCGCGTCACCCAAGTCTGAACCACAGCCTGCTTTGTGCCTGCATGTCCATGTCCTTGGGTGTTTACTGGCAGCCAACATGGCCTCCCAGAGGGTCCCGAGTACCTGGGGACCGTGCTCCTGTCTTCCTGCTTCTGCTCTGCTTCCCGATGTGCTGGGACGAAACACTCACAGGAAGACAACAGCTGCAGTGCTCACGTGGGCTGAGTGCCCAATGACTATATATCTTTTTTAATTCACATTTTGAATTAGGCTGCTAATTGGTATGAATCATCTCATGTTCCTTCTTCACAGGTTTTAAGCATCAGTGCATGTGAGTTTGGGAAAGAGCTTTGGTATTTTCCATGCACCTCTACAAGTTCCTGGGTTCACAAACAGTTAAAATTGTGACTATCTGGACTGACTGACTCCTTCCAAGAGAATTTTCCTGGCTCATCCCCTTCTGGACAGTTCAGAAAATACACACACAGGCACCAGGGGGCGGGAAGCTGGGAAGGGTCCTTGAGCCGTGCGAGAGAGCGCAGCCTTTCCTGGCACGGCAGACAACTGGGTTTGCGTTCCAGCGTGGAGGTTGTGGTTGCACGAATACTTGTCATCCGGACTGAGGAAAGGGACAGAGTTCTCCTTGGCAGCCATGAAGCCTGGTTTAATACGACGGTCAGATGACATTTCCTTTTCCTGACTGTGACTGACCCCGGCAGGGGAAGGCAGCGGTTCCGTGTCCCGAGGCGGAGAAGACCAGGTTCCGCAGGGAACTTACTAGAAAAGAGGGAAGCTGCTGGTGGTGTTGGTTCCAGTTTAGGGCAAGCTGGTGGAGCTCCGAGAGGCCGTGGGCATGAGCAGAAAGGAGAGAATTCTCCAGAAGATGAGAATAGATTCTTTGGAGGGTGGTGATTTGACACAATTCAGTGACAAGAGGAGAGTGAGAGGAAGAGGGTGGCAGACAGGGACCAGGGACTGCACAGGAAGGGACCCGGCACAGAAAATGGTGGAGGCTCTTTCTCATACTACCCCCCCTCCCAACTCTCAGAATTCAACAGCTGCCTCCTGCCTCTCCCCTGACCTGACTGACAGGGTTTGAGGAAGCAGCAGGATTCTTACCGACTGAGGGAGAAACCGAGGGAGGACCAGGGAAGGGGCAGGCTTGGGGCTCAGGCCAAGTTCAGCGCGTGTTTGAGACCAGCCCAGAGGTCCTGGTCACAAGCGTTTTACTTTGATTCTCAGTTTCCTATTCAAAATTCCTTCTCAGCCAGGGCAGCTGAACATCACTGCGCCCACAGGCCCCGACTCCCCCGCCCCACCCCCATCCCCTCACACCATGGGGGCAGTGATCCTTGCCCTCAGGGGGCCTGCCGGCCAGCAGGTCCTCCAAGGTATGTTTCCAACTTTACATCTACCAAGTCTGCTCTGACTCTGCTTTGGGGAGAACTCACTGGGTTCTGTGGCCTTTGGCATTTAAATATTCTAACACTGTCTCAGGTGTGTGTCTTCTCTCTCTGGACTGTGAGGTCCTTCAGGATGAGGTCTCTGCCTTCGGCCAGCCTGTGTATTGCCTCGCACTCACCGTTAGGACAAATGAAAGTCGCCTAGCAGGGTTTGCCGGGCTGGAGAGGACACGCTGAGCTGAACTATGGGGATTTCCAAAAGTAGGACAAATGTTTTCTTGAGCAAAAACACCCACGATGGCTTACGGCAACAGGTTATTTTGTTTTCTTATTCAAAAAAGTGCTTCCCTCCCCCTCCCCAAAGAATCAGTTCTCTTAAATGATTTCCATTGCCAGTTTCTCTTCTAATCAAGTTATCAGCAAACTAAAGTAATAAAGCCAAATGATCAGAGACTGTTTTAATAGGTCTGGCAGCGAAGAAATCACTACTGATAGTTCAGGCAGGAGCCTCTGACCTTTGGCAATTTGAACCTCAGTATCTGCAACTATACAGTGGGAATATTCTTGTTGAGTTAGTGTGAAGTTTAGCAACAATAAATATCAATGGTCTAACCCAGTGCCTGGTGCATATTAGCTACTAAAAATGGTAGCCACTGCTTCTACCGTAAATAGTGATTATGACACCAGTGACAATGGGAAATCTGAGGTCACTCCCATGAGAGACCGGAGCTGGACCAGAAACTGCTCGTCATGCCAGCTCCATAGGTTGAGAATAACTTATTCCAATAGCCTTCGTTCCTGGCTCTCTCCCTCAATCCTTTTACAAAATCCAAAAGGCAAATAGCAACTCTCTTTTTATTATAATTTGTTCAACAAATACCTGTCTGTCTTTGCTATGCAGTAATTTGAAGGTTTACAAAGATGAGTAAGACATTTTGGTCATGCCCTTAAAGATTATAATCTAATTTGCCTGCACCACTGACTTCTTCCCTGTGGAGCCGTTTAGGTTTTATGGAAAGCAAACTCTTGTGAAATCTTACTTCTCCAGCTGCAAATGCAGTCACAAGTGACCGAGATTGCTTAGTTTGTATGTACCTGGACTCCAGTTCCGAATCACCTCACCCTCTCCCCAAACTGAACCAAAGTCAGACCTTCGGGGCCTTTCTGGGGATGCCCCTCGCCGTGGCATGGTTCATACATCAAGCCGAGGAAGACCAAGTGATAATTACACTGGAAGATGAAATACAGCTCCCTCTTCAGGTAGTAGGACGGGCCCTTCGCCTTACAGAGAAGGAAGGGGATTGATTGTGTTCAGGAGCTTCGTCACCAGGCAACTCGACATCCTGATGTTCGCCAGTGAGCTCTGGGAAGACTGTGGTTTGCTTTAGACAATGTGACCCCCGGAACTTCAATGTGGGGTCTGAGCAAGGTGGTGTCTCCGGTGGCAAAGAAACCCAACAGCTATTGAGATAAAGCGTGTCTTGCCTCAGTTCTCTTGACAATGTAATTGTTGACAGAATAGCTTTTAATTTCACCAAGAAAAGAAATACAGGTAGAAATCTCATATCTGCACGAGCCCCTGACCACCAGAACAAGGTCTATTCACTGAAAATTGTTCAGTGCCTCCCCTCACTTGTCGACAGATAAAGTGGAAAAGAGTGAGAAAGCGAAAAATACTGTTCCTGAGCCTTTACCCCTTCCCCTCTCTACCTTGATTCTGTCGCCTGGTGCCTAGGAGGTGCCAAGATTCTGTCTGAGAGATGCCTTTTTAAAAAGATTTATTGCTTCCTTTAGATGGTGGGAAGAATTACAGCTTAATTACCAGCGTTGGTGTTGCCGTGGTGTAATAGGCAGCTTTCTGTACAGTCACAAATAACAGGCCGCGGCGATCTGCCTGTTGGAGTGCGCGGGAGATGCGTGTCGTCTCACGCACCCAGAGGAGATCTTCATTAAAGCTTAATTATGTGCCATAAATATGTTTTATTTTGGAACCCAGGAGGTAGGATTTTTGATTTGGGGAAATGCGGTGTCTAATGAGTAGGCAGAAAAGGGAACATAAACAGCGACTGAGCCCTTTAATTTGTCCCTCCTCAGTGTGGTTCTGAACCGGTTTTCAGTTCCAGCGTGTGTTTTCCGAAAGCCCGGCCCCGGCGCCCCCTCCCAGGGCCGCCTCGGGTGCACACAGCCCATAGCCCAGGGGCCGATCAGACCCAGGGCCCGGCGGGTTTCCAAGTCCCAAGTGTGCCAGACGCAGGAGTGAAGAAATCAAATGAGCCCCGAGAGATGACAGGGTTTATTGGTCGCTCTCTCCTCAGTGCTGGAAGAGTTGAGTGAAGTGGCAGCCGCTGTCTTCCTGCTCCTCCCCTGCACACCACACCTCCCTACGTTTGTTGTTCATGACATTGCCCTCTGGGCCCCTCCCGCCCATCCACCTGCCTTCCGGAAGCCTGAGATAGCCCTCTCCCCCTGTGCTGTGTGCCCTTCCCCACGGCCACTTACCACATGAGGTAAATTTTACTGGGCCTTCTGGGGCTGGGCAGGCACAGCACAGGGGTCTCAGATGGGGTGGGAGAGGAGACTGGGAAATAGCACAGGGTTGCTGGAGACTCGGGCACGGGGCCAGGGGAGGTGGGGGTGGGGCTCACAGAGCTGGGAAAGGAAACCAGAGGGAGATGGGGGGAAGGGCTCTGGGCCACCGGGGAGGCAGGTGGCACGATGGGCAGGACAAGGCAGCAGTAATTGGTATTGGGCTGCAGGACAGGGGAGAAAGCAAAGACGGAGCAGTAAGGGGAATATTCAACACAGAACAGGGGGTGCTCGCTGCTGTCACCTGCACAAAAGAAAAAGAGCAGTCAGGAAGCGGCATGCACAATGGGAAGGACATAGAAACGTCTGTGAGTGAATCAAAGCTCAAAATTGGTTCTTCGGGGTGACCTCTCCAGGTGTCATGGGGCGGCAGGCACTGAGCTGGGACCTCAAGGTCGCCGAAGAGTTAACCAGGGAAATGTCATCAGCCATCACACCCTATTCCAGCCAATAGTCACTGGTGTCCCTGACAGATGCTGGAAAGTTCTTCCCCCACTAAGTTCCCATGTGGAAGCTCTCAGTCCCTTCTCGGCTCCCACAGCCCATCTAATTAGCTGTTCTGGCAGCAACATATGGTGGCCGGCGGGGTCTCACATAGGTAAGGCTCACCCCCTCAATCCTCCAGCT